ACCAAGCAACAATTCAACTAACAATAAATATTAATTTTACACTGTGTTTCACCATACAAATAGCCAACAGATTGTAGAAATTACATACTTACTTGTAATAATATTGAAGACGCCATGGCCACACAAACCGGTGGCTGACTGACGTCGATATGGTTTCCATAGGTGCATTCAATGTAATACATAGATACGCTAGAGTTGAAAGAGAGAGATGAGCGGATGCTGGTATGCAGACCCTGCGGGAAATTGGAAATATGAGGCGGGCAGTATAGTTTGTATTTGAACGCCGAAACCGAAGGCTTACGATAGTTGGGTGAAAGTTTATAAATGCAATTATGAATACTATGATAAAATCATTAATTTTTGTTTTCAAAAGGGAGTTTTCTAAATTTCAAATCTTTTTGATATTTTATTTCTTTCAAAATATGCTCCCGAGTTAAATTATATTAATGACTAGAAGACTCCACCACACGCTGCTCAGGCTATGGTATTACAAACTATTCAATATAGTAAATGAGATTTATGAATAAAGACGAAAACGTTATAGGCGGTCAGTATAATTAGAACACGTGACAACAGGACCAGTTTTTCCTTTAATTTTTTCAGTCATAATGTTTGCTTCAATAAAAATTCCTGTAATCTCTTTGATTATCAATGAATATTCAAGGTGGACTTAAATTACTCTAAAGAATAATAGGTGAACCAATTTTCAAACGAGGATTATTGATGCCATTACGGGTACATTTAGAGAATTTAGAAACACAAATTGACATATTTTATTTCAGTTTCATTTCCGTCAACAAAATTAGCGCTGGTTTTAAAATATATCAGCTCGCCTGGCAACAATAGAAATAAATTTCGTACACATCCATTACATATTTGTGGCTGCTATTGTAGCCCGATTACTGAATCTGTTATGATCTTTGTAATTAACTTTTATTTCCAAGAAAATACTCTAAATTAATAAATTTTTGTTATGAACAGTGCAGAAATTTTATGGCATTCCGAATATCTAACAATTGTTCGGAATATATTTGTGCTTGTTAATTAACTTGCAATTGCTTACGCATATTTATGATCAATCAAATCGTCTCAATACTTTACCATAAGAACGATTGCTTAAACTATGGTTAATCTTGAATTAAGAAAAGCGACCATTTAAATCTTTCATTGTTCTACGCAATGCTTCGAGAATATTTGTGAGCTATTATGCACTCTTCTCAAATTATGATTGAACTTTTTCTTAACATCGGAGCTTTCCCATGGTGAAAGGATTTTTGAAATCGGCACAGTAGTTTTTGAGTTTATTCATTACATACACACAAATCTTTTCTCTTTATAATTGTAGTGTAGATATTTAATTTTTAATTACATATTTAGTTAGGCAAAGATATCTACCTAAATTTCTCACGGGGTTGCTATAATATACACCCAAGTGGTCCAGGAGAATAGTTACATTTATTGTTTCGAATGACATTCGACGACTGATGGGAGAATGTTGCCGGCATGGCAGCAATGATCATAAGCAATTTACACGCCCACAGCCAAACACAGTGAAGCAACTATGAATGCATTAATTGTACACTGGCTTGCTTTATATTTATTTGCATGTATGTGTATATATATAACAATTTGTATACCGGCGTACATACATAGGTTTATCTGCGTCCAGAGTGACTATACGTAACTGTTGCAAATGCTATGACAGAATGATACAGATACTGTTAACAAATGTTAGAACAAAATCAATTGAATTGTAGGACAAAACTACGAACAATACAAGGGAAATTTATTGTAGAAACATGGGTGTACCTATATGCAGTAGTCTATGTTTTATATGTTTACATCAGCTCCTACAAATTGTGTGGATATTTATAAATATGTTGGGTTAAAGTATTATATAATAACGCAGGTAAAAGACAGGAGGTCTGCATATAAGAGGAATCGAATCTCGAGATTGTTAAAAATTAATTTTGGGTAGAAAAAAAAACCACTTATAAATGTCAACTAAAGACTTGACTTTTAACTGGAGATTTCCTGGCCTAAACCGAAGTAGAAGACTTAAACCATTTTTTTCCATAGTTGGTAGATCAAAAGAGTACTGTTACATCGGCGAAACAACATTTTTTTTTCAAAAAGAGTGGGGAGCACCTGCCAGAGAGCGCATTAAATTTTTTGCTGAGATAATAAATTGAACTAGACAGTTATGTATCTGTTTGTACTTCTTCGAAACTGGTATTTTTCTGTAATACTGACCAGTTGAGGTTCCTACAGACAAAATTTTGGATGTTTAAGGGTGCTCATGTAAAGGGCTGCTTTTTAGAATTTTTTTTTACGACCAGTAAATAGATAGAGCTTTAAGTTTATTATAAATTATTAACATACATCTCAACAGTATAAATATCAAGTTTAAGCTAAAAATATTGTGGAGAACGTGAGTTACAGCGTTCTGAACGATCTGAACACACCTGCCTCGAAAAAATGGGCTCGCACTTCCTCCACAATTCCGACTGAGTACTTATCTGAAACAAAAAAAAAATTGTCGTGTGTTTTTAATTAAGCTTACAGATTTTTTGAGCCCATCATATAAGATAACACATGGTTGTTTAAATACGGTCATAGCATGAATTCGAAACTGTATGAAAATTAGGCCATGTAAAGATAAATTCTTAACTGGACATGGTACTCGCGTTCTTTATAACAACGCACAGTAACCCAAAACAAAATTTGTTTTTTCTACAGGTCTTCCTGCCTCTATCGATCTCATTAGTTATTTGCTTTTTGGTATTATTGCACATTAACTGTCAAAAAAGTAAAATTTAGGCTCTTCCTAATTAGAACACAGAATGTCACGATAGAGGTAGGATTTGCTTATATTACATATATATTTATATATCATTCCGTTTTGAACCCGCAATTATAAACTTAGGTTGGTATTCGATAATCGAGCGCTAGTGGCAAGAGCCTGTGTGTGTCGAAGGCACATAGCGTTCATCCAAAAAGGTAGTGAATTTCAGAAGATTATGCAAATGCATTCGACACAAGCATAATGCGTAGAGCGTAGAGACGCATTTATAAGCACAGGGATGTAGAAACTATGAACTGCGTCTTGCATAGAAGTATGTTCGCATGCCACTCTCTATTTGTGCAACAACTATATAAATACATCATAATTTTGGTCGTAACATCTGTATTTATGTGTGGATGTTGCCATATTGAATTAAGTGCCACAATAAATGCACTTCCGCTTTTGTCAAACACATGTAAACAAGTGTTATGCCGGCAGCAGCAACTAATCGTCTATTCATCATGAGAACACCATGTCGTCGACAGCTGCAATTCGAGTTGTAGGTTTTGTTGTTGTTGTTGTTATGTTACTAAACAATTGTGTATTTTGCGTAGACTTTCTTTAGTTTGTCATACATTATGTGGAGTTAATTTAAATTCTATATGATTTTCAAATGTCCAAGTGCCATAAGAGGTTGGGCGTGCGTAATGAGAATTAATTTGAAGAACTTTCAATTGAAAATCAACACCTGGAATAATTTTAGTAGGCTAATACAGAAACTATAATTAAAATATGATTTAATTATGGAAATATATGTAAATCGATACATAAATAAATGTTTGGATTGTTATACGTCATGCTCAAAGCAGTGGGAATGTGCAATATGTTCTTCTTCAAATACTCGTAGTATTGTTGCTTTATTCATTTTATTGATAATATATTTTACAAATTCATGTCTTTGAATTAGTAGTTGCAACGACAACTTGGTAATATTAGTTCATAAACATCCCTTTTGTGCACACTACTAACATCTGTATCGACATTTATTTAAACACTCATATGAGCCCTAAATATATACAGGCGATACTGTTAGAAAAGTAGTGTAAATCCAAACACTAGAAAATTAGTCGAAATTGTTCCACATGGTCCACATTAAAAAGGGGTAAAAACCAGGTTGGATTAGGTGAAACGGTCGATTCTGTTACAAGCGCTAACAGGTATCTCACTTGGTTAAACTCCTTTCTTGGGATCGACTATAAGTCTATCACAAATTTGTTAAGGCGGCTAATATCAGTTTCGACTATCTCTTCTATGTCAAGCTGCCGAGTTGTTTCATCCTCAGTTTTGTAAAAGCTGAATAATTGAAGCGAAAGCTTTCTTCATACAACGCCTAGTATCAGCATGCTGTTAATTTTGCTGTAAAAACAAAAAATTAACTGCATTGCATAGAAAATGATTCTCAATAATCTCCATTAAACTGCAATTTTATTATGTTTAAAGCGAGATTTTTTTCTTTTATTTTCTGCAAGACTAAAATTCTTAGTTTGTCTCTTTCTAGTTATGGTTACTCTGACGCGTCATTGGATACGTATGACGCGATGAGCCTAATAATCTAGCCGGGTTCCAATTGACAAAGTCGAATCATTTCAGCACTCCCTTCTTCCCTGCACTATTAGTGTGAAAGTGCCTTAGCTCACATTTCTATAGGCATTCAGTCAATCAAATCATTTGTCAATATCAGAAATTTTTTGACAACACAAACGACATAACTGTATTTGGCAAGACTGACCTCAAGATAGGGAATTAACTAAAATTTCGATATAACATAATCTAACCTCAAAAATTGAATACTAAAAAAGCTTAAAACTTGGCGCATTGAGATGACAATAAGGCTTCAAACACCTTTATAAAATATACTAACACCAAATTATCAGTTAAAGTAATTATCAACAAGTATGTATAATATATTACATTCTATAATTTGAAAATAAATACCTACAACAAATCACATATACATAAATATACAATAATAATCCGTTCATATTCTCATTACAAATATCGGTAAGAACTCCTGTTGTAAATAATTATCCGAGCTCTCTAATGCGTTTTCTATACAACCTAGCTAACTAAGGCTAAATGCAATAACTACTATAAATATACTAAATAAATAAAAGATTTATGTAAACAACTCAGCTTCTCCACTACTACTTTACAGGCCATCGATGAGGGTTTCATTGAAGACATTAATGGTATACTTAATACTGGTGATTTGCCCAATCTCTATCAGTTGGAAGACAAAGCAGCGATTATGGAGAATATGACGAGTGTAGCAAAACAAATGGTGAGTGGAAATGTACACCTTTTACGAGTACTTTATTTAAATAATGATGGGCTTTAGAATGTAAACTATGGTGTATGCATATATAGGGTGCTCTTTTAGAGGTACGAAATTTCTTAGCAGTTCTGCTGACAAAACAGCTGTTAAAGCAAATAGTAGGTTTAATATTTATGCTCCGCATAAATTGGCAAATTTTGTTAATTCTTTTTTTTTTGTTTTTTTTTTGGCAAATCAGTAGTTCTTGGAAATTTATTTCATAACTTCACATTTCGTGCGGCAACTTACTACGTTTTTAGAGAAAAAATATTTTCAGTGATGAACCAAATTTTGGCTTAACGGAGATAGATATGAATGAGTAAATTCTCATATTTGGAATGAAATCAATCTTGTAGGAACCCTTGGGACGAACTTTTGGTGAAATGATGTCAAGAAATTGATCAGCAAATGCTATCAAATTGGCCATAAAATAGTTCGAATAAATTTTCTCCGTTCTGTAGCTCTAAAAATACACCCTGCATATGTAAAGGAAGCGGTTATTCGGAAGTTAAGCATTGATATTAGAACTGAGTTGTCTGTAAATGCAATATAGAGATGAAAAGTTTAATACATTAGGGTGTTGCCGACTTGATGCATCGAAATAATTCCTATAAAACTCTACATAGGTATTTAGAATGCATATACGTATATAAAAAAGTTTCTGGATTACACTTTTTTATATATTAGTATATACATTGTTTAATATTAAGAAGGTTTAATTATTGAGAATAACTTGAAGCTGTTTGAAAGAACGAGCTGCGTCGATTTAGCCATGTCCGTCTTACTGTCCGCTCGACTGGTTGTATATACACGAACTAGACCTTCAGTAATTTATATATTGCTCTTAAATTTAGCATACATTTTCTTCCCACTAAGCTTCTCATTTATCGGAACCGCAGATATCGGACCACTATAGCATGTATGGCAGCTATAATAAAGTATTTTTTTTAATTTTTATTTTAATTACAAATATTTCATTCAAATTATATTAAGGATTAAATTTTTCAATTTCCAAATTGTTTTACAATTGTTGGTTATTGTAAATAAGAATTAAGATAAAGAAATTAGATTTTTAAATACCCGTTACCACCTTATTTCAGAAAATATCTCTTTTTTCCATCGCATTTACAACCCATGCTTCGTTAACGCTAAGTTCTTACACTTGCGTACAGTTGTTGTTTTTGTTGTTGCGATTGGCCCACAAGTAGCTCATTATTTTGGCAATAGAGCAATAATAGGCGACACAACAAGCCCCAGTGTCGAGTAAATGCACTTACAACAAGGCAATCGAACTAAATACAGCAATTACGTTAGTACCCATAGCAGGAACAACAACACCAGCAACATAGACAATGACAACAATATTTGCCGAACACATACATGTGCACCATACTTACTTATGCACCAACCGTACAATAACAAGTTGTTATTTCATGAACTATATTTGCTTTATTTCCGGTAACACATTCATTTCCGTCTTCCTGCACCGGTTGCCACTCCCATGTCGGTCGTTTGCGGACCATCGAATGACAAATATTGGTTGCTTGCTTGGCCGATTCAATTTTACTTCCTTTAACCTGCTTTATAATTCTGTTGCCATCATTTTGAATTTCTGTCTTTGCACTATTTTCATGACTACAACAACAATAACAACCAACTGTTACTGGTGGTGCTGCTTGCTCTCCGTACCATTACCATTGCCACTTCACACCACTGTGGGAATTTCATTTGCACTTCTTCTGTCCTGACTGCATTACATGCCACGCACCGCCCCGATGGCCTGGCCTGCCACACTGCAATGTTGCACTGCTGTTTTGGTGCCCTGCTCCGCATCCTCCTCGAGTGGCTCACAATCAATTCATATTTCGACTGCATTATTGAATGATGCATCTTCCTACTTACGAACTCGGTTAACGCTTGCACATGCAACTGCCACTGCCACTGCCACTGCTGCTGCCACTCTGACTGCCACTGATGTCGATGCTGATGATAATTTCCTGCAAATAAAATACATCCAACGGCACACAACGACACCACCAACCACATACACATACGCACGCATACATACACATACACACGGCGCACTGCATTTTATACTACAACTGCGGCAACAATCGAACCACCTTCTGCGCTTTGGGCGAATTTCGCCTCGAATGCGGGCTGACTGACGCACAGGCGAGACAAATTGAAAATTCCCCTTCGGAGATGTATGCATACTTTATCGAGAGGATACGTGAGCAATTGCATATAGCTTTGGCATTTTCACCGATTGGCGATTCCTTCAAGGAGCGTTTAAGAATGTATCCATCACTGATAAACTGCTGCACGATTGATTGGTAAGTGTGAACAATTACAACAACAACAAGTGATCTAGTGATAATATGTATAAAAATCGTATAGTAAAATTGCATCACTCAATTTATCAGCCATATGCGTTTAATATCCATACACAAGCAATATGCGCGCTACTTGCTATTAGGGTGGTTCGTTAGGTCTTTGGAAACAATTTTTTGGCTTTCCTAAATGTTGCCTGCGAAACACTAATATTATACAATAGTTAAAACATATATTCTAGAAAATAAGCATGAGTAAACCATTTTTGCTGATAATTATATGCTTGTTCTGATATTTCTTAACTCGTTCATATGGTATAAATGTAGCATAAGCAATTATTCTAAAAGGGCATTAAAATTTTCAGAATATCATCTATATGAATACCTTTCAGTATCTTGTGCAAAACCATGAATATTTAGTTTGATATAATTCAGATAGGCGAGTCCGAAAATGCTAGATTTCAAAAAACATATAGGAGAAAATGAGTGTAACAATGATAATAGTCTAAAACAGACGTTTTTTAGAAACATCATTCCATACACATAGATTTATAGTGACTCGAGCTTCGAACAAAAAATTCTTGTTTGATTCCTCCTTCGTTTTTGATGTCAGCAAGCTCAGAAATTATATATCATTTCGGCTGAACAAATGCTTCCCGCCGCAATAGGCTTTACCTATGACCATTCGAACGAAATCCAGCAGAAATATTTTTTTTCGTTCTTATATAAGTTCTTTGTTGTTGAGCTTGTTAAAGCAGAATAAATGCTATACTTGTATCTTGCAGCTTACGAAGGTATTTTCTTACGAGTGCATGTATCAAACATTTCAGAGAAAGACGATATGAATTAAATATGAGAATATCAGAACAAATAAGGATAAGGATATATTAATATACATGACTGCATCATAGTTGGTTATTATTAAGAAAACATGAGGAAGTAAAATAGTAATAAATAAGGCTTGAGTTCAAATTAGACATGGAAGCAAAAAATTTAAATTTAATTAGAATTTATTAGAGAAGAAGAGAACGCAATGTGCCAAAAATACAGCCTCTTGTTTTTGTCGGAAAAATTTTTCCAGCTCGATATTTTTTTTACAAATTTACATTTAATTCATTCTTAAGGCAGACTTTGCACTATCTTGCAACAATAACTCATACCTTGTATTCTAAGCAGACTCCACAATGCAATCAAAGAAAGTTAAAGCTATGCAAAACATATCTCTAGAGAAATCAAATATATGTACCTTTCAATTTCATTATCTTTCTGTCAAATTTTTGTCTTCGCAAACAAACCTAGAAATGGTTTTTATTTTAATCTCATAACTCGCCCACTTTCTGGAGGCTTCCAAACTATCGAAACAGGTTGAAAATCAATGTATCAATCTTGTTCAAAAAATGGTCTCAATAACAAATACATAATATGTAGTAAAACTAAAATATTATTTACAGTTAGTAGCAATAATTTTGAAAGTTTTATGGTATGCCAGCTGATATTTTAATTTTCGATAACGAATCGGTTTTGAAATAAATTAGTGTTTTAGACAAATTAGTAGCACACGTAGCTATTATTGATTATTCACCAATCTTAGGATTTTCCTGTGGTATAAATCTAATATAACATCTAAAGTTTCAGAACATTTTCTACACCAGTAGCTCTCTGTACTTTGCACAGGTAACCAGGATCAATTATTTTAATAAGACATATTTCTGAACTTATGTCAGATAGAAGAGATTCCCATACGAATGTTCTCATATTTGCAGAATACAACAAATACTCGTATAATGACATAAAAAAGTCTTCTATGCTAAAGGTCACCATGTTTTTACAATTGAAGTGTAGTCTGAATTTCTCCTGTGTTGCTTTTATTATTATTTACATTAAGAGAATTTCGAATTTTAAGTGACCAGCAATGCTTCTCGTTTGAAAACATCATACTCTCGGAGTATTTCGATTACATAGCCCACCTAAAGATTTAATTAAGGATCTGTATAGAATTCTCAATATTTTTTAAAAAACAAGGGACTTAAAATAATAAGACTTGATCCCCTCTTCTACACAGAATAAGTTTTTGTTTTTTTTCAAACATAAGGTCTTTTGGTTAAGGTTAATAAAGCATGTCACGATAAATTCTGACGTTCTTATTTTGTTATCAATTTCGATTAACTTCCACAAATTTGAATTCCCAACTCACCGAGTCTTCGGTACACGTCAAATAGACTCCTCTAGGGTAGAGCTGTTTTTATTTAATAAATTGGAAAAGAGAGAAACATACTAGATCTTGTGCTAAATTTCCAAAGTCAATTTTATAACGTCAAAGCTTTCATTTGGCAATTAAACAGTTCACACTTTCGATCAAGTGGTGCAAAATTAATTCAATTACTTTAGCCATATTTGGGCAATTTCAAATACCACAATTAACAGTTAACTAAATTTATTAATTTGACTCACATATAAGTGCAAATGCTTGTTTTATTTGCATTTATATGAAATTATTTGTAATTTCTGAGGGAAATATATGCGCATAAGTACATAGTTAAGTGGATAGAACACGCTGTGAACACATCTATTTCAATGGATTCCACATACTCACCCATGTAGAACGGCAAAAGTAGATAAATACCCATATCCATGGATATGTGTGAGTGTACATATATGTATGCAGCAAATAAATGTACGATTTGCAGGTTCATGCCGTGGCCCGTTGACGCCTTGGAGCGTGTTGCTGAATATTTTATCAGTTCAATGAAATTGGGTCAGGCACAGGAGCAGGCTGAGGCCGGTGCCGCTGAGCAAGCATCGGTCGATACCGCAGAATCGGATGACAAGAAAAGCGACAATGTTGAGGAAATTGTGCTCAGTGAATTGGAATTGGAGCTGGTACAAATTGTCATGTATTTCAATAATTCCGTCTTCGAAGCGAGCGAACGGTAAGTGCACGTTTATCGAAAGTTGTCAAACGGAATGAAGTGATAAGTTGACAAGCAAACAAGCAAATAAGCAGTAAACCGCAATAAGCACAAGCAAACTAAATATACATACAAACAGATGGACAGACAGACATACATATCTATGTGCACATACATTAATTTGACTTAAATTACAGTTGCTATCTGGAGTTGGGGCGCCGCAATTATGTGACACCCTCATCTTATTTGGAGATGCTTAAGTCTTTTAAAAGTTTCTACGTACGGAAATTGGAGGAAATTACAAAATTGCGCGATCGGTGAGTGTGCGCACTCAATTGCGCTGGCATATCCCAGTAATTATATGCAATAAACAACCTTTTAAACAATAGCTACACCACCGGTCTGGAGAAATTGGACTTTGCTGCCGGTCAGGTGGGAGAAATGCAGGCGAACCTCTACGATCTGCAGCCCAAGCTGAAGGTGCTCTCCGAGGAGACTGAACGCATAATGGTGAATATTGAACGCGAAACAGCGGAGGCTGAGAAAAAGAAGGAAGTGGTTGGTGCTGATGAAGCGGCAGCCAATGAGGCCGCAGCCGCCGCGCAAGCGATCAAAGATGATTGTGAAAGTGATCTAGCGGAAGCGATACCTGCACTAGAAGCAGCATTGGAGGCATTGAACACACTCAAGCCGGCTGATATATTCATTGTGAAATCGATGAAGAATCCACCGTACGCCGTGAAGTTAACACTGGAGGCTGTATGTGTGTTGCGTGGCTTCAAACCGGATCGTAAGCCAGATCCCAGCGGGCGCATGGTGGAGGACTTTTGGGGGCCATCAATGCGTATGATAGGCGATATGAAGTTTCTAGAATCGCTGAAAACATTCGACAAAGACAATATACCGGCGACTAATATCAAAAAGATTAGAGAGAAGTGTGTGTCATATTTGTAGAATATTTGCTAAATTTTTGAGACTTCTTGTCTTTACTACGCTTTCAACTGTTCTTAAACCCAGATATATACCTGATCGCGACTTTGTGCCGGAAAAGATTAAAAGTGCTTCTACTGCCTGCGAGGGTCTTTGCAAATGGGTGCGCGCTATGGATGTGTATGATCGTGTAGCGAAGATCGTGCAACCCAAACAACAAGCACTTGCCGAAGCAGAGGCCGATTTGGCCTCGCAAATGGAGAAATTGAATGCGAAACGTGCCGAGCTGCAAGTAATTTTGGACAAATTGCAGAAATTGAATGACTTCTTTGCCGAAAAATCACGTGAGAAGAAGCGTCTAGAAGATGAGATTGATAACTGCGAGAAGAAACTGAATCGGTAATCTTCGTTAAAATGTTAAAACTAAAAAATGTATTTTAAAGTATCTTTAATTTTATATTTACTTTTGTTTACACGCAGCGCGGAGAAACTACTTGGTGGACTGGGCGGTGAGAAGACGCGTTGGTCGGAGGCAGCGCATAACTTACATAAATCGATTAGCAATATTGTCGGCGATGTTTTGCTAGCTGGTGGCGCAGTAGCTTATTTGGGTTTCTTTCCAACCGAGGTGAGTTAGTGCTGTTTTTATACACTGGTGTAGTCATATCGCTAAAGAGCAACCCTAATCTATGATTTCAAGACCATTCGTTTTCGTTTCTTTCTAATTCCAAATCCAGTGGCACAACAAAAAACTCTTGTTTAACAATATGTAATGCAAAAGTACAATATAAATTTCCATATATAGTACGTGAGCTTGAATTTTTAAAATAAAATAATAATAACACCTTATTTTGTTTCTAACTGTCGGCTCGCTATTAATACGCTTCGTTTAAGCTATACATTTAACGCGTTATTGATATTTTCAGTTGCAGCAACTAGTAGTGTGTTGCTCGCACAAAAAATGAACAACCACTCTAACTGTCAACGAAATTAATCACTGCCGACGCGGATTTGGCATGTCCCAAAAAAATTATTATATTTTTTTTTTAACTGCCGTCGGTGGTACTGTGTTGATGTGTTAGAAAATACTTATTTTTAGCGATAGAATATTTTTTGAAATTCGATTAAAATAGTTGTAGCGTATAAAAGAGTTGTTTATATGCGAGAGCACGTAAAACATTTGCGTATGTACTTATGTGAGCGCAGCTTCACGAGGAGTAAATGGCTGAATTTGTATACAAGGTGTGTAAAAGTGCTCAGGATTAAAAATATGTGGAATAAAAAGATATATATTTAATTGCGCATTCAAAGTACTTTAGAGAAAAATATAAAATTGCTAATAAATAAAGAAATTTATTCAGAAATAATTACGTTTTTTTTTACAATCGTTATTCTGAAAGATTCTCATCATTCTCTCGCCCACATGATCCCATAAGACGATATTTTTTTATTTAAATGAGATCAATCAACGACCTCCAAAACACGCAAACTTTGAGCGTATTACGTAGTACGAACAGACAACTACAAGATAGTAATATAATGAAGCAGATATAGTATACGTAGCAGTTACACCACATAAGAAAGAGGCAGAATGCGTAAAAAACCGAGCATTGAAATTGTAGTAGATCGGAGATAACTTCCATAAATTAATTACTTCTTACTACCATCTAAAGGCACAAACAGTCACCACCACTTCTACCGTCCGCTTCAACAGACCGTACGGTAGGATGACCGCGAAAATTGGATTTTTTCCGTAGAAACGGGTGAGCTGAGAGTGAAAGAGCCATCTCTTGCAACGCAGGGTTGCCAATCTCGATATTTTGTAGTAATTAAAAAATGAACTTGAATATATTTGAAATATTCTTAAAATAAATTAAAATCACAGTCGAATACACTTATTTCTAAATAGGCAAACTATTTTTAATAGTTTGATTTTAGTTTTGATATTTTACATTATGAAAAATTATAACTGAAATGTGAAAAATCGTGTATACAAATAGAACAATGGCAACATTGGTGAAATGAAAACAAAAGAGAACAACCGATTTCTGCGTTGCAACTACGGGCATAATTTTGACAAATTACGGAAGGGACGGAAGGGAGGAATGTCGGTGACTGTTTGTGCACTAAAACCCGATAGTACGACAATTTTTCGGTTTTTGAAATTCCCCTCTTCATGATTTCTGCTATCCATGTACCATCCTACCAATAATTACATAAACTAATAAATAAACATTTGCACACAAATTTAATCAAATAAGTCTTATTTACAAACCACGCTTAAAGCACTTCACCCCTCCATTTGGCATAAATTATAAACTTGACAAACACACCGTAAAGCATTATAATTTTCTAGTAAAGTGCTCATTACAATCCTTGATATGTGTATGACATATATAAATATTGCAAATCATATATTAATTATTTTTGAAAATGTCTGCGTAGAATATTTTAATATATCAATCAGCTGGAGAATGCTTGTGTAATTAGTGAAATATTTGCACAGTTTCGGCTAAAATTAGCGAAGCTATGTTGATTTTACTGGTTAATCAGTTAATCTTGATGTGACAATGGCAGTATAAAAGCGGCGTATACCTAAATAAATGCTCTTACGTGTGATGTAATGTAAATAGATACAGATATATATACATACATATAAACAGCACCTGTGGGAAAAATTGTGCATTTGATAATCAAGTCTCCAAATATCTCACATTACAAAAAAAAATAGCAATAAACTAAATATTTAATTAACAGTCAAGCCAATTGTTATCAAAACTTAATTTCCTGCATATTTATCGCGGAAATTCCTACTGGATACTAATGGGTTAAAACAGGAATGTATATTTATTATTTATGTCATGCTATAAACAATTATTTACATATGAACTTGCACAGCTCTATTTTTTAACTAAAACCTGACTATAAAATGTGAGATTAAATATGTTGGTGTACATGTACAGTTCCGAGCAATAAATTTGGTATTTTTAGTATACTATTCTAAAAGTAATCTTTATGATAAATGGCTTTGAATTAACACTAGAATACTACGAAAGAATAACATAAAAATAAATATTAGGTCAGAACAGTATTCCAGGTAATTATATAATATATATATAAATAATTTTCAAAATTTGGTATTTGTTAAGTTCATAAATAGCAAATATTATATTCCGAAGCTGTTTCTGCACCCAAAATCTGCATGGCCTAAATCTAAGGTAAACCTCACCTAAATTTAATAAAATATTTCGTAATCGAGTTTGCTACAGATTCTCAATGGAGATTGAATATACCATCTGATCTAATTTCACACGGCCATTTTCACGAATTTTACTACAAAACATTATTATCGCTTTACTAATCCAATTTTCCATATGCTGGTTTAAGCCTCTGCTGCGATGGCTTTCAGTGTCTTCAGTGAATTTTGATTTTTTTCGGTTTCGTCTCATTTTTGGAACTCCATTTGCTAGATTGTTGGACATTATCGACACCATATTCATAAACCCACTTCTCGTTACCAGTAATGATCCTTTTGATGAATGTACCATAGAACCCTCAGCGCCGTTATCAAGCATCTCGTTTGCGACCTCTACTCGACGTCGTTTTTGTAAAAGTTCGCGTATTTTTCTACGAGTCTAGCATTGTCCGGCTTCATACCCAAAATATGGAAATGGTTGAATCAATCCATTAGAGATGTCGAAATCCTCTGCATTACTTCTGATGCCAACGCCACGACTTTCAGGCACTGTATTTTTTTTTTTTTATACTCTCGCAACCTGTTGCTACAGAGTATAATAGTTTTGTTCACCTAACGGTTGTTTGTATCACCCAAAACTAATCGAGTTAGATATAGGGTTATATATATATAAATGATCAGGATGAAGAGACGAGTTGAAATCCGGGTGACTGTCTGTCCGTCCGTCCGTCCGTCCGTCCGTCCGTCCGTGCAAGCTCTAACTTGAGTAAAAATTGAGATATCTTTATGAAACGTGGTAGACATGTTTCTTGGTACCGTGAGACGGTTGGTATTGCAGATGGGCGTAATCGGACCACTGCCACGCCCACAAAACGCCATTAATCAAAAACAAATAACTTGCCATAACTAAGCTCCGCAATAAGATACAAGACTGTTATTTGGTACACAGGATCACACTAGAGAGGGGCATCTGCAGTCAAAACCTTTTTTTTTAAGTGGGCGTGGTCCCGCCTCTAATAGGTTTAATGTGTATATCTCCTAAACCGCTAATGCTATAATAACAAAATTCACTACAAGCAAATGTTTTTAGCACCTCTATTGACGGTGTGAAAATAGTTGAAATCGGGTGGCAACATCGCCCACTCCCCATATAACGGTACTGTTAAAAACTACTAAAAGCGCGATAAATCAAGCACTAAACACGCCAGAGACATTAAATTTTATCTCTGAGATGGTATAAATTGGCTTTATAGGAACCGCGTTCAAAATTAGTCAGTGGGCGTGGCACAGCCCACTTTTAGGTGAAAACCCATATCTTGAGATCTCCTCAACCGATTTCAACCAAATTTGGTGAATAACGTTCTTTTCATGTTTCTATGTCATAGTTCGAAAATGGGTGAAATCGGATTACAACCACGCCTATTTCCCATATAACACCATTTTAAATTCCATCTGATTCTTTCACTTTCCACTATGCAAATCAGGTAACAATGATTATATCGGGGTAAAACTTTGCGTGAATAATGCAATTAAAGTATGCCACCTTGCGGCCAAAAATTGTCTAAATCGAACCAAAACTGTTCAAACTCCTAAGTACTAAATATGTGGACCCCAGTGCCTATAGTTGACCTTCTACCGAAAATATCAGTCAATCCACAAAGAATTCTCAAAATTAACTGCTAATTAACTGCTCGCCACTATGTATGTACTTAAGGCATAACACATTGGGCAAAAATAGTTTTGGCATCAAAATACCAAAATGGCGAATGAAACTGCAAAGAGCCAAATAAATGTGCTGATTAATAAAGCCAAACCATAGACACGCCAAATAGACATGCATAGCTTTACAGAAATGTGGCAGACAGTTGGTGATTTAAAGCGGAATTCATATACAATTGATAAGTGAGCTGTAATTACCACCCACAGCAAAACAAATGGGAAGTCGGCGCCATTGCAAACCTTTCATATTTCCGCGAATCCATAAATTACTGTCTGATTGAAACTTTGTATTGTGTTGAAAAATATTTTGCACAACAGAAGATATCATTTGCAAATTAGCAAAATATTTCTATGTGTATGCATGTGTGTGTGTGTCAAACTAATGTATGCTTTTTCATTACAGTATCGCGCGCAAATTTTGGAGGACTGGAATGCGTTGTGTGTGCGCCAAAAAATTCCTTGTTCGGAGAAGTTCTCACTGGCCAGCACACTGGGAAATCCCATGCAGATACGCGCCTGGTCATTAGCCGGTCTGCCGGCTGATAACTTTTCTGTAGAGAATGGCATTATTGTGGCCAACTCGAATCGATATCCGCTAATGATAGATCCACAAGGTGATTTCTATTGATATGCTGCGGTTAATTGAAGTTGTTTGTAGTCATGTGTGTTTATATTTATTAGTGGCAGCTGATTGTTTGCAATTATTCGGTATTTAGCAGGTATACCGGTATGAAGTGAACGTTGTTTTTTTTTTGTGAAAATGAAATACTAATTTATGATGGGAAAGCAAAAAAAAAATCATTCATTTGTATTGAGCATTGCTTTTTGGACATTTTGACCACCTTGACGTGCTTCATTTCTCACATCGAAATCGTTATCTTTGAACCTTTAAAATCATCTTTTGCGTGTTGCTTCTGATAGAGCATGATCGACAGGAAGATGTCATGAAAACCAAACAGGAAAAAAAATTAAGGCTCGTTCACAACAAATGCTACCTACCAACACATTTGTATCTTAACGCTCACTTCATACTGGTACACCTGGTATTGATAGTAAAATAGTTACGAAAATCGTTATAATGAATTTAAGGTAGGAACTATTTGAATATCTGGATATTTGATGACATGAATTAAATATTTATATTATGAATCTCTTGGCAAGAAATCCGCTTCAAATATTATATGTGTGTATCCCATATTGTCGTAAAAATGCGGATCTTTCAAATATATCCACCTCATAAAAATTTTTGAATTTAGGTGTCTTATAGCAAATGTATCCGAAGAGAAATGTCTAGGCCAGTACTAACAAGGAAAAAAATGTGCTACACAGATTTAATGAGTTCTATGCTTTAAAAGTTCTTTTAAAGTTATAACAAATGTGGATGGTGCTATATCGAGACTTTGGTACCGGAGTCTCAGTGGTATATTTTAGTTATTACTTTTAGTGGAAATTTTGAAAACATTAACCAAACTTCGTAGAATATCGTTGGAATTTCAGAATAATTAACCGGATTTAATTTTTTATAATTTCTCAATTGGTATAATTTATACAATAGTAAATTTGAAGCTATAAATTCTTAAAGAAATTTTTATCTAACATATTTACTTTCTATTATCTTACCTGTAATTCCAGTCCAAGCTAACAAATGGATTAAGAATATGGAAAAGGATAATTATCTGCGCGTAATCAAGCAAAGTGATCCTAATTATATGCAAATACTTGAGCTTTCTGTAACATATGGCAATCCTGTGTTAATTGAAAATGTCGGTAAGTAAACATTTGGTCTTTTGGAGTATTTAATCTTAAAATTTTTTTAATAATATTCTGTCGTCAATATAATCGTAAATACATTCATACATATATGTATGTGCCAAGTTTTAGAATCCAAGCACCATTACCGGAGAAATACCAAAAAGGTATAAAATATAAATGGAGATGTGGTTAGGGTTGGTAGAAAAAGTATTTTTTACTAAAAGTATAAATTTCCCGTGTTTATTATTTGTATTAAAATGCATATTTCGAAGGAATAAAACAAAGCCTCTTTACTTTTACTGGATATGGAATTACTATTACAAAAACGAAATCAAAGAAATATTTTTTTGTATTAAAGAAAACGTTTAGTATAAAAAGTACATCTGTTGATAAATGTTCAGAGCTTGTTGAAAAAATATCTTACTTTAAGATTTTAAATGTGTGGGATCTGGACCAAATAGTTAGAAATATATTCATTTACCGATTTAAAAACGGTAGAGTTCCATAATAATATAAATTTGTGTACATTTTTTTTAATATACGTGTATAATACTATACTAAACTTACACGTTTTAGTTCGATTAATAACTTCGAGACCGTCACTCTGTTCTCTTATTAATAAATAGTCTGTACTCAATTATTTTGATAGTAAAACTGTTAAAGATTTCAAGAGCCTGTGGATATTTCTTCCCCAAAAACTATAAATGACTCATGAATGCTATATACTATATACAATATACTACAAGGTGCGTTCCAAAGTAAACAGGACTTTTAAAAAAATTACAGAATAAATGGTTTTATCGACAAAATCAATTAATTTTATTCAAAGCAGTCTCCATCTGCTTTAATACAGCTTTTTGCATGGTCCATAAGCATGTCGAACGAGTGTTTTAGCTCGTTGCCCGGTATGGCCGCCAGTATGCCGGTGCAAGCCTTTTGGCCCCCACGTCTGCATAACGCTTTCCTCTCATCGGCAAATGCATTTTTCCAAAAAGGTAGAAGTCGCACGGTGCCATATCAGGTGAACACGGGGAGGGGTTGATTGTTAAAATGTGACTTTTGGTCAAATAATCGGCCACAAGCGTCGATCGATGAGACGGCGCATTTTCGTGCAACAAACTCCAACTTCCATCTTCGCGATATTCGGGCCGAACACGTCGAATACGGCGCATTAAACGCATAATACTTATATATATGCATGTATATGTATATATTATATTTTTTGTCAGTCTGGGACAAATTCGATATTAACACTCTCGCAACCTTTTGCTACAGAGTGTAATAGCTTTGTTCACCTAACGGTTGTTTGTATCACCTAAAACTAATCGAGTTAGATGTAGGGTTATGTATATATAAATGATCAGGATGAAGAGACGAGTTGAAATCCGGGTGACTGTCTGTCCGTCTGTCCGTCCGTCCGTCCGTCTGTCCGTCCGTCCGTCCGTCCGTCTGTCCGTCCGTCCGTGCAAGCTGTAACTTGAGTAAAAATTGAAATATCTTTATAAAACTTGGTACACATATTTCTTGGTACCGTAAGACGGTTGGTATTGCAAATGTGCGTAAACGGACCACTGCCAAACGCCATTAATCAAAAACAAATAAATTGCTATAACTAAGCTCCAAAATAAGATACAAGACTGTTATTTGGTAAACAGGACGTGGTTTCGCCCCCTAAAAGGTTTAATGTACATATCTCCTAAGCCGCTATGGCTATAATAATGAAATTCACTGGCACCTCTATCGACAGTGTGAAAATGGGTGAAATCGGGAAAAATTGAATTGAATGAAATTTTCGCTTATATCCGAACTTAGCCCTTCCTTACTTGTTTTGTATGTATTTAAATAAATATATAAGTATATATACCGTTTTCTTAGAAATATTCCACCCATTTCTTTCTTTTTTTTTGTTGTTTTATCAAAACTCACAAATTCGAATTGGCTAAGATTAATGACGCAATGAAGTCAGCCAGAAATAATAAACGAGTGACGTCGGTACAAATCCAATTAAAAGCACATAAAAGCAGAGTAACATGCGCGCATACATAAATACTCATACATACACACGCACATGACTTCTCAGAAAACACTTATTATACTGAGTGCTCTTCAATTGAATGGATTTTTGGGGTTTTGAGCATGCAGACAGTTACTTGGCCAAACATTTATGCGCCAATACTTATGTACCTACATATGTATGTATGAGTGTGTGTGTATAAATACTCAAAAAATGTTATAAATATAAAATCAACAAACGCATCAACTCAAGTTCATGGTGATTTGCGATTTTTATATACGACGTACGACAACAAATTACTTGTCAAGTCGAACCGTATCAAATGATTTGAGCATCTTTCAAACAAAGTTCCGTATGCGGAATATACAAGTATGTAAAGTCTGTATGTACACGTGTATATGGCCACGTGTCAGTGGGCAGCAGATGAGTTGAACATTTTTGATTTTTCATCGTGTTTATTTTCCGAGATTACGACAGCAATAAAGAACTTGACGTCGCAAAGCCGTCCAGTCTATAGGAAGTACGAGCACGAAAAAGTGGACCAATTATAGGCATGTGTTCTGCTTTGGATGAATATAAAAATGAGTAACGCACCGACGTATGTAAGCTGGTTTATAAGCTGCGCTTGTTAAAACGCTAGCTAGTCACTTAACCCCAAAAATAGTAATAATTTAAAGATAAGGGAGAGTAGGTGTTTATTTAAATTTCGTATTAGAATACCATAGCAAACGGATAAAACATCGATGCATATTTTTTTCGTTGAGAAATTTGTTAAACTGTTCCATAACCTCAAATTCAGTTTATCATCAGGTAGTTGACTTTTAAATAAATTAAAATATGTTTTGATTATATTTTACTGTGCTTCCTAATGTTACACCCAACACTGTGTTTCATCATCAGTACCGCCTAATGGTGTACACATTTTTAGTAGGTAAAGATTTCCCTCAATCAAAACCAGTTTCTTCACGTCGAGAGTGTGGACGGTTTGATCGTAGCTACATATTTCTTGGAACAGTTAATTACTTCTTTACCATGATTTCTTTACCATGTGTTTTTACTTTAATTGGTTTCACAATTCAATTGATGAATATGTTGTAATACAAAAATGTTAGAACAAAATTTTCAAATATTTTTTTGTTACCATCTCGTGTACTCGCAAGTTAGCGCGTAATAAAACAGGAAGGGCCACGTTATCGCATAGTAACCAAACATTAAAATTTCTGGCCGATTTGAAGAGAACGTTTTTTTATAAACTTTTACAGCATAGTTGTTACTTAAAAGCTTGCTTAAGTTCTAAATCGAGCACGAGTTTAAAGTTCTGTTGAGTTAAAAAAAGTATAGTTCAAAATTATGTTTATACCCTATATAATTATAGCGAAAAAATATGTTTCATTGGAGTATTAGTATAGCAAATGCATGATCTAGCTCAATTTTAGTATATCTTTATACGAGGTGTGTTCAAAGGAAAAGGAGAATTTTGATTTTTCGCGGGCTGTGTACATTCGATTATCGACATTTTGTTTTGGTTATAATCGGACACATATGTTGTTTATGTGCTTGCATTAGGAGCCGATTTCGATTAGTAGTTTGTTTCTGACAACAGAAAAGGTTAGTCACGTTTTTGGGTGCTCTTTGATTTTTCACTTTTGAAAGAAATGGATCAAAGGATATGTATTGCATATTACGTTCAAAATGGAGCAAAGTGCTTCAAGGCAATTTAACTTTTGACTATGGCATTCGGTGAGTCCACTTTGTCTAAAAAAAGTGTTTATAAGTGGTACAAGCGTTTTACAAAACGCAGAGAAGATGTTGATGACGATGAGCAGCCTGGAAGTGCGACCACGTCAACAAGCGAAGAAAACATCGATACAGTGAAAAAAATTGTTCTTGAAAATCGTCGAATAACTATTAGGGAGGTTGCAGAAGACCTTGGCATATCAATCGGCTCATGCCATTCAATTTTCTCGAATGTTTTGGGCATGAAACCGGTGGCAGCGAAGTTTTCCAAAATTTTGAACAAACGCAATGCCACATTAACATCGCTCAGGAGTTGTTGAATGACTTGAACAACGATCGGGGTTTGCTCAAACGTGTCATAACTGTTAAAAACCTTGGCGACCGTAGAGCATTAAATTTCCTACAAAGTCTATGAAACGAAATATGTTTTCAAGTATTTGGAAGCGAGATAAGAAAATTTCTATCTGATAATAAGTAAAAAGAGAAAACCGTTAAAAAGAGGACCTTTCTATATCCTCCCCGTTCCTCGGTGGTTGTACAACATAATACCGAAATAAATCAAAATCTTGAAATTTAAATTTCCGACAAATCAAAATACCGACAATTCAAAATACAGAAAAAAAAATTTAAATAACGGGGTGTTTAGAGTTCTTCCACGTCGAACTACTTTTTGCATTGGCAGTTTTCGGCCGCGCTTCAAACAAACAACGCAGGTCGGTCCAACTCTGGGGCGTTAAGAGGAATGTCAAGTCGAACTACTTTCTAAAAAGCCCATTTACGGCTTTACAACTTGATTTTGCAAATATTTTTCAAAACAATTTTTTCGTGTCTGTATTTTGATATGTCGGCATTTTGATTTTTCGCTATTTTGATTTGTCTGTATATTTGAATTTTAAACTTTGGGATTCTAGACTGCTACTACATATAAACCAGAACTTCTCAAAGGCTTTAGCTTTTGGTCGGTTAGTTAGTTATTTTTCACTTCAGCTGAATAAGTGGGGAAAGAAGAGAGGCACGAAAAGTTAGTCGTAGTGTTGCACTTTAAAGTAAACCACACAAGCCGTAAGATATCATAATAAATGTTAAAATAAGATGATCAACTAATTGCCAAACTGTTGTTTGGAGACTGTAGGGCTCTCTCTCCTTGTCTCTGTCTATTTTATTGTATTTGCATATGTACGAATATATATTTTGTAGATGATGATCCTTCCAGAGCAAAAGTGCATTACTTTAAAATTTAAAAAATAAATGAGTGAAGTTTTCAAAGCGCACTGTCGGAAGCGGTAATGTCGCGGTCAAATAATTGGAAATTTAATCAAAGTGTTTAATATAAAACTTCATTTTCTCAAATCGGCTCAAAATTATTGTGTGTTTATTCCCTCCTAAAACTCATATGACCATACACATGTTATGGAATCAGACTTTAGTAATGAACTTTATATTACATAGTAATATCACACTAACATTTACGATGCTCAAAAAAAGTTTAATAATAAATATTTATTTATTTACACATTTTTTTAATGAGAAAAGTTAATTTAAAACAATTTTAATTCGTGGCATTTGAAAGTGCTTAATTACAAACGCTTTTTGCGGTTATTCTATTAATAAAATTTTAATAACCACACATGCCAATGAAAGTGTGTAAACAATGTTTCATTTTGTATTTCAAGGAAAAATGTATTAAATCAAATCAATATGTCAAATGTGTTAACAGTAAAAGTTGGCAGCAGTAAATCACGAAATATTCACACCCAACTGTACAAACGTATGTATATATGTATGTATGTACATTAGAGCTGGTCGATTTTTTCCATAAAATCTATACGTTATAGTTTTCCGATTTTCTTCATTTTCGCTGTTATTCTTATGTATGTATTAGAGGGCTGTTCTACGAAATTACGTGCTCTTAGCTTTTTGGTTAAAGGCAGGATACCGGACAGTAAAAAACCTGAATAATCGGTTGTATGGGACATATGTGACATAGTTGTGCCATTTGGCCGATTCTGACAAATGAGCAAACTTGTTCAGAATGATCCGTAGAATATTTCCCGTGTATACGATACTTCCGTTTTTTTTTTGTAAGTCAGCCCGCTCTAATGTATACACAATATGTATGTAGATACAGATATTTTTTATTTATGAACTGCATTTTTTTGTAACTTCGTCAAATTAACGTTTCAATTACATTTTCAATTATCATTTTCAATGTTAAGGCTGCTTGATGAATTACGATCGATTTATTCCAAACGTTTGTAAATGTTTATGTTTGTAGTAAAAATCGGCAAAAAATTATGAACTAATTTTCGCGTATTCTACAAATAAAAAACAGAATATCATTTCATATTGAAAACCTCAAGAGAGGAAATAATTTCGCCAAACGCTGCTTCAGATTCTAACTGAGCGGTCGCAAAGGTTATTCAAACATAAAGTTTTCTTTGCGGTTACTAATGAACAAATCTAACCCTACGGAGTTAAGTTATAAAATTTAGAACAAAAGCTTTCTTATTAAGTAAGAATGTCGAGTTCCACTCATTTTTAAAATAGAGCATGCCTTTCACAGCTTTGACACTTTGTCGTGGTTTCCTTTTATAAAATTTCACCTATTTTCATACTGTCGCAAGAAGTGTCGAAATGATAGGTCTTGCGCAAATTTGGATGATATAGCTTGTATAGTTTGGTAAATATATACATTAAACCTATTAGGGGGTGGGGCCACGCACACTTTTAACAAATTTTCAAACCACAGGTGTCCCTCATTATTGGGATTCGTTGTACCAGACTTAATTTGCGGCTTAGTTAAGGCAATTTATAGGTTTTCGATACCAATTTTGGTCCATTCGGACCAAAATAGCAGTGATCCGATTACGCCCATCTACGAACTCGTTCTCGTTTTGCGTCGGAACACGTCTACCAAGTTTCATTAAGATACCTTAATTTTTACGTAATTTATCGCGTAACTCAAACGTTGTGAAATTATGCGCATTCCACACAAGCGTGAAATTTCTTTTGATTTATTAAAATTTGGGGATGATAAATACCAACAATTTTCCTTTGGTAATTCAATAAAATGCTTAAAAGTATGTACTAATATATATCATCAAAAACGAAATCACCATATATACATATATATGTAAGTATGTATAAAATTAAATGAAAAACAAGTAAGGAAGGGCTAAGTTCGGATGTAACCGAACATTTTATACTCTCGCAAAGTCAAATGGTATACTCGTTTGAGATTTCTTTGTGGATTGACCGATATTTTCGGTAGAAGGTCAACTATAGGCACTTTATTTCCGATCGGCACTTTAGTACTTAGGGGCTTGAACAGTTTTGGTTCGATTTAGACAATTTTTGGTCACAAGGTGGCATACTTTAAACGTATTATTCACGCAAAGTTTTACCCCGATATAATCATTGTTGCTTGATATGCATAGCGGAAAGTGAAAGAATCAGGTGGAATTTAAAATGGTGTTACATGGGAAGTAAGCGTGGTTTTAGTCCGATTTCACCTATTTTCGCACTATGGCATAGAAACATGAAAAGAACGTTATGCATCGAATTTGGTTGAAATCGGTTGAGCAGATCTTAAGATATGGGTTTTCACTTAAAAGTGGGCTGTGCCACGGCCACTGACTAATTTTGAACGCGGTTCCTATAAAGCCAATTTATACCATCTCAGAGATAAAATTTAATGTCTCTGGCGTGTTTAGTGCTTGATTTATCGCGCTTTTAGTAGTTTTTAACAGTACCGTTATATAAGGAGTGGGCGGAGTTGCCACCCGATTTCAACTATTTTCACACCGTCAATAGAAGTTCTAAAAACATTTGCTTCTAGTGAATTTTGTTATTATAGCATTAGCGGTTTAGGAGATATGCACATTAAACCTATTAGAGGCGGGACCACGCCCACTTTTTAAAAAAAAAGTTTTAACTGCAGATGCCCCTCGCTAATGTGATCCTGTGTACCAAATAACAGTCTTGTATCTTATTGCGGAGCTTAGTTATGGCAAGTTATTTGTTTTTTATTAATGGCGTTTTGTGGGCGTGGCAGTGGTCCGATTACGCCCATCTGCAATACCAACCGTTTCACGGTACCAAGAAACATGTCTACCAAGTTTCATAAAGATATCTCAATTTTTGCTCAAGTTAGAGCTTGCACGGACGGACGGACGGACGGACGGACGGACAGACAGTCACCCGGATTTCAACTCGTCTCTTCATCCTGATCATTTATATATATATAACCCTATATCTAACTCGATTAGTTTTAGGTGATACAAACTACCGTTAGGTGAACAAAACTATTATACTCTGTAGCAACAGGTTGCGAGAGTATAACAAAGACCACTCTGAATTCGATTTAATTAACTGGCACTCATAATAAAAACAAACAAACATATGTACTCTACCCACTATCCAAGCGTACAAAGCGCTTTACTTGGTATTTAGCAGAATTTCTAAATTAAAAATTGCGTTTTTTAATAAATTGATTGCAGGTGAAAGCTTAGATTCCAATTTGACGCCAATACTGGAGAAAAACGTAATTAAGCACAAAGGTGGTCTATTTATTAAAAGCGGTGAAACGATGCTGGAGTATAATCCCAACTTTCGTCTGTACATAACAACATGTTTGCGTAATCCGCACTACTCACCGGAAATAATGGTTATGGTAAGTGAGAGCGAAAGTGCGCGATCGAGAGCAGGATTGAAAGCTTGCAGGATTAACAAAATAAATTAAAGTGAATTGTTGATATAACTCCGTGAAAAGAAGATTTAATATTGAAATGCATTTTAAAACATGCACTTTTCAATAATCTTAAGCTTTTGTCAGAAACATTATTTTAGAGCAGAAAAGATTGATGAATAAGGAAAAAATATAGAGTCAAATATATAAAATGTATATTCAATTCTTAAGTTTTTTGTTGAAATCAAACTTGCTCATGCTGTGGTAGACGTCTTCTATTCAACACTTTTATGATCACTATGTTTGAGCTCTGCTATATTGTGCTAAATTCTCACATGCAAGCAACAATAACATAAGGGGTGATTGAAATTGTTTCTCTCTTTGTGTTATATCTCTACTTTGCTTTATATCAGTGTTTTTGACTTATTCGAGTTGTTTGTTCGATTTATCGTCATCCAGCAAATTTTGATGAATTGAAGAGAACTGGTACATTGTTCTCACGTTATATCTCAAACACATCCCTTAACTCCATATATGTTTATACAAATCCCTCCCCGTTTATAACTTAATCCACACAATTTCTTTAACAACACAACACATATTTGAAAGTGTCAGCTCTTCTTTGCTGCAAATCTTGACTTACTGTCGTTTTCGTAACGCGTTGATATGGAATTAAAGTATTTAAGATAGAGCTACCTTATAAAAAAGCGACTACATATATTATCATCCTGCAACCGGAAACCCCTCACGTAGACATTACGTAGCCATTCAGCGGAGAAGTGCACTCAAATAGAGGCAGTTTGATGAGGGATTGGAAGCAAATATAAAGATATGTTTGACAGATTTTTTTTAACCTTCATTAAAGGTTATTTGAAAAATAAAATATATTTATGCACTTTAAAACAACGTCGCTGTTGTTTCTAGCTTGTTTTTGTAATCCTTTTTTAAATTTTATAGGTAGCGGTTTTGAATTTCATGATAACGGAACAAGGCTTGCGCGAACAGCTACTAGCTAACACCGTGGCACGTGAACGTCCCGATTTGCAGGAGAAAAAAGAACAATTGATTGTCGAGTCAGCCAAGAATCGTGACGCTTTATACACAATCGAATCGAAGATCCTAGAGGTGGGTATGAAAAGTTGGATATTTTGTTCAAATTTTCAAAGCATATGTTGTTTTATTTTGTTTATGATCGAAATATCGGGTGTACTGAAAATATTTTTACTTCGCAAGCGCTTGATTATTATCAATAATTATTATCACACTAATAGGGATGACACTTTTATAATTGCATTATGTTTATTGTGGACAGACATATCCACATACCTATGTCTGTTGAAATATTTTGCGATATTGACCGGTACGGTATGACAAGCATGCTCCATTTTAAATACCCAGTTCTGTTTTGGAATTTTGTTCGAATTAGATATTGAATAAAAATACTTAAATTAGCTATTGAGAATAAAACAAAAATACTTTCCGATAAGAAATTAATTTAAAAAAACGAAAAATTATTAAAAAATAATAGAAATTAGCACCCACTGTAAGCCTCAATCAAATTATAATATGTTCCGTCATAGCCAATGATAGCTAAAACTTTCACCTCACAAGACATATAGAAAGTGTGTGCTCAGACCTACACTTCCATTTGACAATTTTACTACATTGCTTTGCTTAGCTCAAGTTTACCAATCCATCTATCAGCAAAACATACAAACAAGCATCTTTGCCAAGGCTAATGCACATATGTACCCCCAAACTACTCAGCCTGAGACTGATCCAAGAATTTGATACATATTTATTCACTACATATGTAATTACTAAATATATATATATATATATACCATATATGTAAGCATTTGCTTGTATTTAACATCAACTTAACCAAACTCAATTCAGCGCAAACACTCTCTGCCTTACTTAACCCGTAGGTACTATCCTCCTCGGAGGGCAACGTGCTGGAGGATGAGAATGCCATCAACATACTGTCATCGAGTAAAATATTATCGGAGGAAATACAGGAGAAGCAAGTAATCGCTGTGGCAACTGAAACGGAAATTGACGCCGCACGCCAACAATACGTACCGGTGGCCAAACACTCCGCCATACTATTCTTCGGCATCAGCGAATTGGCAAACATCGATCCAATGTATCAGTACTCGTTGGCCTGGTTTCTCAATCTCTTCGTAAACGCTATATTGAAGGCGCCGAAATCGAATGTGCTCGAAGAGCGTTTAGAGCATTTGAATTATTACTTTACGAAATCAATTTATCAAAATGTTTGCCGATCGCTTTTCGAGAAGGATAAGCTTGTCATATCCTTGGTCATGTGCTTGGGTATATTGGTATCGCGGGTGAGTTGATGCCTAAACTGCGTGGTTAGCGTTAGTTAAGGAGCAAAATTTGCAATAAATACAAACCTTCACATACATACATACAAATATACACACACGTACACACATGAATGTAATGAAAGCACAATTATTTAGCTTTTAAAAGAAATATATATTTGAATGAATGAGGTTAAGGCGCAAGAATGGTTAAGAACATATCTACTCGTGGACTTGTTGTTTCTCAGTACCTTTGCGTAATGCTTGGAAGGTCTAAATTTTTTATATTTAACGCATTTAAATTTTTTAGGCTGGTATACAGTACGCCAAATGTGTTTAACTCCAAGCAAAAGCAAAATCTATCCGCAATTATCTTTTTATTTTGTGCGAGCGATTATCTTAAGTAGTTTGTATAAAATTTGCATGTTCTCCACACCTCACATAAAAGGCGAAACACGGCGCCCTAAACTATCTACCCTAACAAAAATACTAAGATCGAAGTATTGCTTTCTCAATCAATTATTTTATAACGAGGTCTCTTTATATAAGAAAATATGGGGAATATTTATTCGGTTTTATGTTATCAAAAATTGGTTTGCGTTTCCGTAAAAGTTTAAAAAATCATCATTTATGGTTGGTCATATGAATTTAGACATATGGGAGAAAAGACAAAGAAAAACGTAAAAAAAATTGTCTACCCGGTATGAGGAAGAAGCCTTCAGATTTCATTGGCTTATCACAAAAACAGAGTAAACAGGGAATACGCTCTGCTTGAATGGCTTCTAAATTACCTATTAAAGGAGTAGTTCGAGCTAAAGCTTTCAACAACTTGTTACAGTATGGACGACAGTGGCTAATGGTGGTCATTACTCGACAAGCAAACTTTCAATAAAATCTATCCAAAAAATTTACTTCTTTTAGAGCCTTAAATTCTAAACAAAAAAATTTATATATCATTAAGTGAGAGAGCTAAATAAATTTGAATCAGGGGTTATAGTTAGGCTAGGCTATCATAAAAGTTTCAATAATTTCACTTGCAAACTTCTAAAAAACCTATAAAACACCTTTACTACTTAGAATATATTTGGTTTTATGTCATATCTTATCAAAGTATCCTATGATGATAGGAAACGTTGTTGTCATAGCACCGTTATCCATACAAACGTTTACCAAAACGACATCAAAAAAACCTATCCTATCATAATGGATATCTGCGTTTTTGTCAGCTGCATAAGATATCTTGACCTTTGCTTACCGATCTGTGAGCTTGAGTAACCTTCACTTCTGTTACCTTCGTTGCACTGTTTTACTGGTTCAGGGTAAGCCAATTTTTAGTCTACAAACACTGAATAATTTTGACATTTACTAACCCATTATAATGGTTAGACATATTATGGATCTCAACACAGTTTAGAACCGTACTGAAACTACACACCTAAAACAAGTCAACCAGCAAGTCAAATTTGTCAGTTTAAATAAAATAAGTGAGCTTGACTGAACTCGACCCAATTTTGATACCCCTGAACTCTCCTTTTCAAAACTCAAAGAAACATTCGTGCCGAATATTCGATATGCTCTGCGTTTAGGTATACGATTTATTAAAAATACTTCCAACTGCTCTTTAGTATGTTTTTTAGTGTACCTCTAATGAGTCGCTCTATCTAATATGATTTTAATAGGTACATCTATTGTACCAAAAACACGGGTTTTTTGTGAATTAAATAAAAAAATACTTAAATTAAAAAAAAAATATTAAATATTTTTCGATTTTCGTCTCCAACGATTTTCTCCGCCGATGTAATTGTCGTATGATGACCAATGGTCGAAAAAATTCAAAAATTGACAAAATGGTGGCGGTTTAAAAAAAAGGGAATTTTACTCAAAAATTTGGTCAGTTTTGGCCCGCCAGAATTCGATTATGGATCTAATAAGAAAACTGGCAGGCCATTGCAGGCAGTACTATATACAGAACATTCAAATTGATTTGATAGTCATTGGATAACCACTACAGAAAATTCGAAAAATGCTGCTTTCGCATTTAAAAATAATCAAGTTTTCTATTCGTTTCAAACTCAAAATATTAAAAATAGAATACAATATACAGTAATTGTAACTTTTTAAGTAGTTAAAGATATGACGTTTAAACAACCTTCGCGCACTGCACTTATCCATACTTACATACAGCTATACAAATAACGGTAAGTTAAGATGCTGCAATGCCTTTCATGCAACACTTAGTCATTTCTTATTATAATTTTTTCTTACGGTATTTCCTCTATGCTCAGTGAGCACTTTAATATATTTTATTTTTTGTTTCATTTTTCTATCGCAAATCTTCTTTCTGCTTCACCATTTTGCCGTTGTGTACTCGCATTATTTGCCTAGTCGGCTTTTGACGCCATTGCCATCTTAATGTTGATTAATTTTTCATTTAATCCCATTTAATTTGCATGAACAAACATAAAACTGCAATCATCTAAATGGAACTTACCATTTGCTAATTTCCAACTTCATTCACTCTGCTATATGTATGTAGTATGTATAACTGTGCCTCTATTTATATATATATATAGTGTGTGTGTGCAGTGGCAACTCTGGCCATTATAAACGATGCGGCAGTTGTACCAGGGATATTCGCCACTGCCACTGTTCGGCGGGTAAATGATCGGATGCAAATGCTGCTGGCTGCTAGCTGCTAATACCTTGACTACCGCCTAATATCTACTTACTTACGGTACTATGAGCATAACAACAACAACAGCTACAAACAAAATAAACTACAACTATCACAATGATAACAACTAAAATGCCAACAATGCCATTAAACATTCCTTTATGGTGCACAATAACTAAAATAAAACTACTGTACTACACACATACACATACATACACACACACCACAATAACTAAGCAACTAGTTTTAAGCGATTGTAAAATGCAAAAATTGCAATACTATTACTTATTTCTATTGGCGTTGGTGTTGTCTATGCTCCTTTGCTCCTGCTGCTGATGACTCTACACATACGTACAAACACATTTGCGCTTGGTGTTGATGCTGCGGATATACCGAATAACCAACAACAAACAATTGCAAAAACAGGGCAAAATAAATAAATCGCATTTGTTGTTCTTCTTGACTGGAGGCGTTGGCTTGCAAGCGGTGCCGCCTAATCCGGACAATAGTTGGCTACCGGAGAAGGCTTGGACACAAATATTTCGCGCGAGCGATCTAGAAGGGTAAGTTGATAATGAATAAAGAAATGGTAAGCAAAACCCTTCGCGGCTGAAAGTGTAAGCCGCTTGGATACGATTTGAGTTTGTTTTAACATTTAGCAAAGAGTGATTTACAAATATTGTTATTAAATTATGCCAAAATTTTTATAGTTTTCATATTTCAATAACTATTTGCAATTTCTAAAGAATGTAAAAACAATATTAATAAAATAAGTGGCAACAGTCTTGTCGAAAATTTTACAAACCCTTGCCCAAAGATTAGGTATCAACACTGCTCTTATATAAAAATAGTTCATTGCTTGAGTCTACTATCGGTTAAATCGCACGTTAATTACCCGAGAGTGCTACCAGAGAATTCTGTTATAATTTCTACTAGTTTTTTTAAGCCGAATTGACAAAACTACTCGAAACTCTTGTGTACGTGTAACCGTTCTTTCTTTTCGTAAGCATAAGGCTACTGAAGAAATAATTATATAAAATAAAAACAAACAAAAAGTATGCCATACAAGATCTTGTTTTAGTTGTTTTCAGTTTGTATGACAACTATATGTTATAGCGGTCCAATATCATTGGTGGACATATGTAGCTAAATTGACTTAGCTCGTCACGCTGATCATTTATATACATAGTTCACATTTTAATTTATAGTTTCTCCGTTTGGTCTCAAGGGCATAAAAACACTCACGTAAAGCGCCCTGAAATATATGGTCCGTTGTGATACCTAAAACTCTTATACAATTAATCATAAAGACCCTCATAAATCGACTAAGCACTTTGTGCCGATAACAAATTTGTTAAGAACGCCTAGAACTGCAGCAAGATGAACTTTGCTAAGGGCAAGTAAATCAATAGATCTCCTACGTGCTTTTGAGCACCGTGAGGTTAGGCCGTCGCTGGTAGATGCTCATGGAAAACACAAAGAAAGTTGTTCTACTCTAGGCCAGAAGGATCTCACAGTCGAACAGAAGCTGGTCGTCGGCAGATGGCTCCTCAGCACGACAGAACTAGAACGCAAGATCAAAACAAAGATCCAAATAGTTCCCACTCGGATGTGAGAAATGTAAAGATGCCACCTCTTGCTAGCTCGTCGGCTTTGCAGTTTTCAGCGGTTTCGCTATGACCACTTGATGTTGTATCTACTGAGGTTAGAAATTCTAATTTTGAGCGCACAGTTTGCGAACTCAACGCTTTGCTTTTTTTTTTCCTCTGAAAGACACTTCTACTTGAATTTATCATCTTAAAGTCGAACAAAGTTTGAATTACTAACCTCCCTTAAGGTAACACTGAAAAACTAACAACAATAACTTAGTGAAATGACTCGCAAACGAATAATTCTGCTAGAAGTAGGCCACATTGTCACTTCTTACGCGAAAAAGGATGCACTAAGACCAAATTAAGCAACAAATATTTGTGGATAGTGAGGTTTAGCTTAAGAAAACACTCGGCATTGTAAATGTTTTAAGCTAATAGAATATGCAATCACTATCATTACTCAAGTGAGATACTTAAACGCCTAGGCAACGAGCAAAATAATACCAATATAATTTCTCAAAAGCCTTTTGTACTTTTTAAGCAGCACAACCTTGAAGTTTTACGCTCGTCTTGCTAATTTGCGCCGATGTTGGCACAAATCGAAGCATCTGAAATTCATTGCAACGCGGTCGAACTCGAACTAACTCCGCTCGTTCATGGCCATTAATAAGCCAAATGCTGAGCTCACAAAGAGCGCGCTTAATCGCACTTCAATTGTTCCGAAAGAGGCTTCATACTTTATTTCCAATTAATTGCATTTGCCTCACAATAAGAATTAATGCGAATTTCAGCAACAAAGTGAGTGTAAAGCTAGTTGAATGTGGCATTATTCAAAATCATAATTTAATATGCCAGTAATTCTTCTTCTTCCTTTTCTATAAGCTCACTCTTCAAACTTTGCTTTGATGTAATGATGCCGCAAACACAATTCAAATCAAAATTTATCAACGCGCAATGCTTCATCCCACTTGCATTGAGTTTTTTTGTTCGTAGATTGTCGAAAATATTCAAGGAAATTAATGTTGCACATAAAACTGTAGTTTATTCGAAAAATTTGTTCATGAATTTGGTTGTTATTTAACCGCTTTTGATTTATGCGTCTGATTAATGAATGTAAAAATTAGGTTTGAAATATTGGATTCATTTTCAACGGTAAGAATTCATTCAAATACGTATAAGCATAGGAAAGTGAATTTTTACTTAAATATGCAATGCAAAATTTAGGTTATGTTAATAAATTACTGAACTACTTTGGCAGTATCTAAATACTGTATGTATTACTTCCAATGAACACTTACTTTCAGAACTTAAATCCACTTAATTTTTCTAGTCAAATGAAAAGTTTGGTTAACGTTGCAATTTGTCGACCCCGTAGCCGATTTCTAAGAAGACCTCCGAAATTATTATTACAATAAATGCATTATATATGCGACAACAAATATACGGCATAAGGATTGTTAGAATAACGAAACTCAATGCATGTAGTAACATATATTTATATATAATATATAGACCAATTTTCCATAATTCCATTAAACTATAGTATATCCCATATTATACCTTCAGTTAATTTTGTTAAGACATCTTGCGTATCGACCGATATATACGATATAAAGCGAACCGAAGGTTTAAAAATATTATATAATATATAGGAGTAGTATTGACCCGATTGTATCTATATTTGGCTTTAATACTTATTATTAACAGAAAACGATGCTCTTTGAGTTTCAATAAGGTACCTCACACGCCATCAGATCAACCGGATGTTTGAAATTCTGTGATTAGTTATATGGGGGCTAGAGCAGTTTTTCACTCGATTTTATCGATTTTAGGCACATAGTTGTACCGTTATTAGAAAAACACATTCTCTCAATTTTATTAAGATAACTCACATATTTGCCAGTATAAAGTCAGTCGGAAGTTCAAAAATCTTTCTATTAGATATATGGGAGCTAAGGGAATTATTCATTCGAGTCAACCCATTTTTGACTTACAGACCTACTACCATCATTAAAAAGTCAACTATAAGTTCTGGGGTCCACATATTCGGTACCTAGGGGCTTGAACAGTTTTGGTTCGATTTGAACAATTTTTTGTCATAGAATGGTATACTTTAAAGGCATTATTCATGCAAAATTATATTCTGATAGATTAATTTTTGTTTGGTTTAAATACTATAAGGTAAGAGAATCAGATGGAATTTAAACTTGTGTTATATGAGCAGTAGGCGTGGTTGTAGTCCGTTTTCGCACTGTAACAAAGGAACGTATGTAATTATATGGTACCATTATACCATTCAACATCTCTGACTGGTTTATTTAATGAGCTATCGCACTTTTAGTAGTTTTAATCAAAACTGTTACTGGCGTGGATATCACCCGATTTCCCCCATTTTTACACTGTCGATAGGGACCACGCCCACCTTTTAAAAAATTTGTTAAGTGCAGCTGACCTCCCTAATATTCGTTTTACCAAATAATTCGATTGTGCCCATCTGCAATACCAACGGCGATTTTACGGCGCCCAGAAACTTGTGTACCAAGTTTCATCACGATATCTCAATTTTTACTTAAGTTAAGATCATTTATATATATGGTATATAACACTATCTAAATCGATTAGTTTTGGGTGATACAAACAACCGTTTGTACTATGTAGACCCATGCATTTCAAGGTTAAAAAGAATACGTTTTCAACGCTATTTCAGAATAAGTGTCCTAAATTTAATATAAAATTTTTTTAAGTATTTTTTAAATACAAATTTCAGTATTACTCTGTTTCAACGGGGCAGATCTAAAGTCTAATTTGAAAATTATAACATCAATTATTGTGTTATAGACTTAGGTCTAAGGTCTTTTGTCTTAAAATCCACATATCGCTATATTTGTATAGGAAGTTTTTCATGAATTAAGCACTCCACTTCTTAACGTCTTTTAAATATGGTATATACTTCACTCTTTCATTACCACAAGCTGTTGAGTTCGTTGAACCATATTCAGGTCACATGTTTGTGAAAACCGGCTTTGCTACCATACAATGTAGACTTGCGAGCTTATATAAACTTTCGAGCTACTTTTACACATATTTTTATATTTATGTGTGCTCCACTCTTTCTAGTCTCAAAGACTTCTACAAGCAATTCACAAAGGATATTCATCTATGGAAGAAATACTACGACTTATCATCGCCCGAGGAGTATCCGCTACCAAAGCCATACGATACAGTGGAGGAAATGCTATGCTTAATTATATTGAAATCTTTGCGACCGGACAAAGTTGTGCCGGCGGTGAGGGTAAGTATGCAAGTAGAATATATATTTGTAGGTATAACCATAAATATTCTTACAATACGAGGCAAACCAGGGCGCATACAAAATTCGAAAAATAAAGTATATATTGTATTATAAAACATAACTAAACATGAACATAATCAAATGACACAACACAATATCGTACAAAGTAGAAATTGTAAAAAAGCAAAAATCTTATGCATTGATAAATATATATAAACATACAGTGTGTGTATGATATATGTAGTATATTCTACACTAGTTCAAGGCATGCAGCTTCCTTGTGAGAATTCGTTACAAAGTGTCGAGTCAAGTCGAGAAAATACGATAACCCATACTTTTTTGTAACTCATGTAATCACCCCTTGATATAATTCCTTTATGCCTCATCAATTGCAGCGTGGGGTCGTCCTTTTTCAAAATGTTTCAGGTCTAGGGAATACGTAGGCTGCAAGATCATTAATGTGTGGTTTTTGGCAAAATATTCGTGCACAAGAACCTATGCGTGAGCAGAGACATTAAAATGGTACAAAAGCCAATTTTTGTTCTTCCACAAATTCGAGCTTTTCTGGCGAATTGCTTCGCGCAATATTCTTTTTGCAAATAATATTCTTTATTCACCGTATGTCCTTTGGCAAGGACTCATGATTTTCGTCTATTGTTGACGGCCACATCTTCTCGATTCTTGTCCAAGGAAGCCTCACCACAGCCAATAGTCGGAATGCGTCCGCGCACTTAATTTTGATTTTCACATAAATAATAAGCAAAACAGCTGTCCTTGTCAACATTAGTAAGGGATATGAGCACCAAAACAACGCAACAAAACATTCGAAAAACAAATACACGTAGACTGCGAAAATTCACGATACTTTTTGAACAAATCTCATACTCCTACCTAAAGAAAGCTTATCAACAAGCTTGTTTCTATGTTGAATTGTAGTGCTTACTTGATTTGACATTACAGGGTAACGTTCTAAAACCTCTACTGTTAACAAACGGTTCGGAATGCTTTTTTCATTTCTGACTGCGGTAGTAGTAGAAAAATAGAATAAAAAAGGAGATTTTGAGAAATGTGAAAATTAATAACTCAGTAGTTGGTACCTTGTTTTAATAGCATACCTATTTGTGGTTTCACCACATCATTACGCTTCATTAAGACAATGAGCTGAGCGTGTGCCAACGACTTGAGGATGTCGAGTTGATTGCCGTCTGAAGCGTGAAAACGCATTAAAGTAACAACCAGAGCTTTTCTATTCGATTAGTCTCTCTTATCGGGAAACTAGCCTGAATCCTCTTTTATTCAGATGATCAAGCCAAAATTACCAAAATTATTATACCGTAATTACGAATTACGTACGGTAAGTACGCTGTCTCGTATTCCACATTGCCATAATTTTCAATTCAAATATTCGAAACATTAATGACTCTAACCTTCAGTTTTGAAAGTCGCAACTTTACCCACATGGACCCCATAAAGTCAATTCAAACGCTTGTACCCCTTGGGTTTTGGCATGAACTACGCATCACATATACATATGTATGTTATATATATGGGTGTGTGTGTGTGTGTCTGTGTACGTTTAAGTTCGCAAATCCAACTTTCGTGCACGACAAGCACTGCTTGACCGACATAACAGTAATGCCAACTGTCAACTGGCAAATTGTGAAATGGCAAGCGACAAGCGCGTTATTTGACTGCTGGACGTCAATACATTTTGGGCCAAAATGGCCAGCAACAACTAGACAAAGCATCACTGCACGACTATCCGACGACGCTCATTCAATGCCAATGATTGTGTGGGTGTAGATATGCGTGTGTGTGTTTGTGGTTTGCTTATTTGTTGGTCTGCATGCAATTGCATAATGACGGATGTAGTTAGCAACTCAAATCCGACTTGGCAAGCTAACTAGCATTGCCAACAATTTTTTATTTATATTTTAGACAAATGACAGTACATGTTAGCCCGTGTGGGTCGGTATAGAAAGTCTCCGCCAACACTTTCTACATACTTATACATTCATATTTGTTCAAATATTACACACACACACATACACACTTAAAATATGAATAAGCTACTTGCCAGTAGTACTCAGCCATACACACAGTATGCTTATCCACAAAATATCCTTATTTGCAAACACAATCAAACACCCACACATACATATCGAACATAGCCGTATTTGCTAGCGGTTGAAAATTTTACATGTTTCTCCCCCTGAAAAATTGTGTCCAACTCTCCGCATTTGTTAATGTCAACTAAAAAAAAAATCAAAAATCTTTTTTACAGACATTCATTACGAACAACATGGACCAATCATTTGTGGAGCCACCGCTCTTCGATTTGAATGCCTCATTTGCTGACAGCTCACCAAGAATACCATTGGTCTTCCTGCTCTCGCCTGGCTCCGATCCAATGGCCAGTCTATTCATGTACGCCAAGCAGCGTAACATGTATGACAAGTAAGTTAATTAAAGAACTCGTTCGATGGTCAATGACACACACACACACACAAACACCAATACATACATACATAAATACAAACGACACACAATTTCAGCTGCCATGTGGTTTCATATGCACACATACATCCACACCTTCCTCTTCGTCCTTGTCCAGGCTGTGTAGCAACTATTTAGCAGCTAACTTCGCTCCTCGACGTCCAATAAGTTGTCAGCTGGTTTTTGTACCTTCTCAACGGTACGTACGAGCGTTATCAAGTGCCGCTATTTGGCGTATTATTGCTGAGCATTTTTATCCAATTTTTCTTTGCCAAGTTGCACGTACACTAAACATTAACCCTTCCTCTCGCTGAGAAAAGCAACGAAATAGATTGAGAATCCAACAAGTTTATGAAGTTGTAATTAAATCCACATTCGTCTACGTAGTCTGTTGACAGCGCAATATGTTCTTTTTTCCTTTTTGTTGTTCTTGCTTTCATTTAGTTTGCCGTCGTCTGCCTGTCATAGTCGAGTGCCACTATTCCTGAATAATGCACTCAATTTTTAATTGCTCACGATGATTGTCAATAGCGAAAATGTACAATCAATGTAAACTTATAATGAGCCCCGTTATATGAGTGTGGATACGGATGCGGAGATTTCATTTATTATGAGATTTTTTCATATTTTCTGTGCACTAACTTCATGAAGACACACACGAGTTAAGTGGCAAATGAAGTTTACGATTGCCACATGTGTGGATTATCTATTGGCTGGGGGTACATTACGGTGGTCCGTAAACTATTAAATGGGTTTTTTCGTTCTCATTTGCTCAAACTGCGCTGGCATTTTAACGCTCGGAAATGGTAAAAACCTCACGCTGGAACACATTAAAGCCAAAACTCAAATTACACTACGAAAAACGAAAATAATGAAACCATTTTATCCCCATATTTAGTCATCCGGCTATTCAGATATATTATCCGTTGAACGCATAAAACTCGTATGATATGGATTCGGTTAATATTCGTAAATTTATGTAAAACGGATAAAATAAGGATAACTCAGATAACGAGTTTTGTTTGTTTGTGCAATTATTCAGCTGACCAGATTTTTGAAGAATCGGATTTTTCGAACTTTGTTAAAAAAAATCAAGAAAAACTTTTTTTTTATATAAAAGAAGTGTATATTACTCATACTTTAAGGGCCATCCTAGCCTACATTCACATAAGGCGACTCATGCTACCATTATACTACATACATATTAATTATCAACACTCTTGTTACATTAGAATGTACAAAAGTTCACTCTAACATATAATGGAAATTTAATTTTTTTTAATATTTTACGAAAGAAACGAAATTGATCGTTGGTCAAACAAGTTTGGTACACAAAAATTCTAATTAAACACTCCACCAACAGAACAAATTATACTACTTTAATAAAAAATTGGAAATAGTGCTGATCTGACGGGTACAGTGGTTCGATAAATAGCATAACATACATAACTTATAACAACATAATATTTTTTTTTAAGGAATCTTATGAACTACTAATCGCTAACTGCATAGACTGTATACTTAAGTAAGTTAATTTTCGATAAATATTTTGGTTTTTCTAAATAAGATCACAAAGCGAAAAACGCCTGGATATTACCAGGCAAGTAAATATTACCAGGTAGCAACCGGATATTTGACATTGCGCTCGGAAGTAAGACAACTATTAGTAAACACTTATTTATTAATATTTTTTGTGTAAAAGAGACTGGCTATGGTAAACAAGTATCGAGCTTTATTATTAAGATAAGTGTTTGTCATTATGTTTTAAAAACGATTTCGGGAAAGTGACCGCCGCGGATGGCTCGAATAAATTTCAGCCGAGAGGCCCAATTAACGACTACTTTTTGCAGCAATTGATATCATATGTCAGTGATAACAAGCCGAATATTCTCTTCATATACCCCAACAAAAAATTGTCCAGCCAGCGGTGTTAAATCGCACGGTCTTAGAGGCCAGGCCACACATCCTAAACGCGAGGTAATACGCTCACTAAGTTTCCTTCAATAAATTGATTGTTTCCTTGGCTGTATGGCATGTAACGTCATCTTGTTGCAACCAAAGGTCGTCCACATCAACACCCAGGTTATTAATCATGACTCTATAGCGTTCCCCATTGACTGTAAAATTATGGTCGGCTTTATTTTTGAAGATATATGAAACAGTGGCTTTTTGAGGATGAATCGGCGTCTCAACAATGGCGAATTATTGGACGCAGCGCGGGATGCCGCTGAGACATTACTTTGGTTATTAATCTGCTCATTTGGAAACGTTGTTCCGAAGTAAGTTTGTTGATTATGAAATGGCAAACCAAACTGTTTACAAATCAAGAAACAGCTGTGTGAAAGACCAACTTCTAAAAAAGTATTGTCTTATTGAAAACCACACGTTTAAAAAAATACCTGTTACTTAAGGAAAGAAGAGTGTTGAGAAGAAATTATTTCTTACACAATTCAAAACATATTCTAACAGAATTTTAAAAGAACCATGACTCACATACATTTTATAACACATTAAAGGAATTTCGCCTTTTCGCCAATAATAATTCCTGCGCAATTCACGCCCACACAAAAGCGTGTGTTTGCACATTGAATCATGTTATTATAAGATGCTGATCAGAAAAAACAAATATCCGTCACATAGTCTTATACATATGTACATGCACTTATGCATACAAAAATTGTCTAAATTTTCGCCAACAAATATTTCACAGAACAAAAACGATTTCATTGGGTCAAGGTCAAGGTCCACGTGCCGAGAAAATGATATTGGAAGCAAATCGCTATGGCCACTGGGTTGTTTTGCAAAACTGTCACGTCGCCGTCAGTTGGATGGGCGAATTAGAGCGCATTTGCAATGACACCTCGTTGGCGGATGCAGCACATCCTGACTATAGGCTGTGGTGTACCTCATATCCGAGCAATGTGTTTCCCGTCTCGGTGCTACAGAATTCGGTGAAGATGACAAATGAACCGCCAAAAGGTCTTAAGGCGAACATGTTTAGGTCGTTCAATTCGGATCCGTTGGTACGCGATAAATTCTTTACGAATGCCTTCTTGTATTCGGATATGGCAAATAAATGCTGGCTACGCGGCGTCTTCGCCTTGGTCTTCTTTCATGCTGTGGTGCAGGAGCGTCGTGAATTCGGACCGCTTGGCTGGAATATACCGTACGAGTTCAGTGAGGCGGATTTGAAGTAAGTAAGGTCGACATGTTAAAAGGCCATTGAGAGTGCAACGCTGATATATGTAGGTGTGGTTGCGGTTGTGTAGTGAAAGGCAAAACGTAGTTTGACTTGCTGGAGGTTGCCTCATTATTGTGTGAACGGAAATGTCAAGCATATTGCTATGTATGCTATGTAGGTATTTTATTCAAATGCCAACATTTGTACTCTTCTTTATTTTGTAGCTTCGGAAATGCGCTGTGAAAAGCAATTTTTTAGTTGCTTACAAGCTTATTTTCATATTTGTCAGCTAAACCCGGCAGATACGTATGTAAGTGCTTTTCTAATTTCGCTACTCTGCTGCCCACCACATTTCGCCATTTTGCAATGTCAAACGTTGCTCCACCACAAATCCTACACAGATATGGTTTTCCTTTCACTGCATCTCCGACCGCTTGCCGCTTTGTTGCGCTTTTGCTATATCTAATAAATATTTTTCAAGCATTTGGTGTTTTTATTTGCTCGTTTCGGTGACATTTTTTCCACAATAGAATATCGCTGATGCAGCTGAAGATGTTCATCGCACAAAGCAAGAGTATACCGTTTCGTGGACATGTTTATCTCACCGGCGAATGCAACTATGGTGGGCGTGTTACGGATGACAAGGATCGCCGCTTAATCCTTTCACTGCTCAACATGATATATAATCCAACCACAATCGAAATGGACAAGTAAGTGTACTCGGCGCTGTATTTGAAGTTTGTAATATTATTACTGCTGATTGTTTGTTCAGCAAAAGTAGTAGAAGAGGGCGAAGTACGTGTAAGAAAGACAGTTGTTTGCGCTATGTGCTTATCTTCATCCCAGTATTTCTTTTTTACGTTTTTTTTTGCTAATATTGAATTTTGCCAATTTTATGGAATGTCACGTGTATTTTCGATTTTAAATGCTGCCCATGACAGCGTCAAAAACTCTTTCGCCTAAATTCACAGTAGTTGGCAGATAACTGTAGATACTTGTACATATGTACATACATGTACGTATAAACACACATTCCAAAATATAAGCGTGCATGTTATGCTTTCGAACTTTCAATGAAATTCCCACCCATGGTCACAAATATTTTGTGACAAATTTTCCAGTTTGAAAACGGTGAATAGGTGTATTAATTTATTTTTGAGCTGGAGGCCGAATTCAAAATTTATGAACCTTTGAAGTTCTGCAATCTCGATTCCGAAATATCGAAACAAAACTAATTTATTTTCAAGGCGTAAAATGGAACTCCAAATTTAAAAAAATCGAAATACTGAAATCGTAGTTTTGAAAATCATGGATTTGCTTGTAAAATTCGAAATTTATTTAGCTACCGCAAAATTTCGAAAAAACTAAAATTTTAATTTCTTAATATTGAAATAGCATTTCTTGTCAAGGTATAACGTAAAATTCGGAATTTGTAAATTCCAAAGTGTAAATAGTTTTGAAATTGTTATTTCGAAACTTCAAACTTAAAATTCGAATTTTATTTACTATATAAAGATTCGAATAATCTGAGATATTAATTTATTAATATTGACAATTCCTCAATTCTTATCGCCAAAGTGTAACTTAGAATTCAGAATCTGCGAAAATCAAAAATTTCGTTATTCCATTTCCCTGTATCAGAAATTTACGGTTTCAAAAACTTCGTAAATTCTGAAATCTATATTTCTAAAGCTATATATTTTTTTTCAAAATATAAGTTGGGTATTTGTTGAATCCAATTCTTCGAAAATTTTGATTTCCTAATTTCGACAATCCGGAATTTTCTTTCAAAAAGTAACGAGAAACGCAATACTTATGGATTCAAAAACTTCGAAAAGTTTTAAATTTTAAGTTCGAACAGTTTAAAAAGCCTCATAAATCAAGTGGTAGTCTCATAATTCTTAAATGGTAAATAAAAAATTATATAATGCAAAGCTTTTGTTTTATTTTTATATCTTCGCAATGTAGTTCTAGTCATACTTCTTTAAGATTCCTTTTTCCAATTTAAAAGAATTCTCCTTAGTTTTTATACAGAAAGAAATATGTACATATTCTTGAAATACTTTAAAACGCTCTTACTATATTCATTTTCCAAAATAACAGAACACGCAGAAGAAAAATACCTACGCATTTTCATGCATTTACCTCTTTCATTTATTTTTTTCCATCAACGCAGTTATCCCTTATCACAATCCGCCACCTATCGCGTGCCCCTAAATCCAACTCGTCTCAACGCGCTCGAATACATTTCCACATTTGCACTTAGTCCTCATCCGGAAGTCTTCGGTTTACACGAAAATGCCGATATCAATCGGAACAACAAGGAAACGAACAGTGTAAGTACACATACATACATCTGAACACAGGGCAACGAGAGCTCTGAATGAACGCATATTTATTTTAAATCTCATCTATTAAATATAAATTTGTTTCCACTACACTAAAACGCAGTTGATTGGCGGTGTATTACTTACACAAACAGATTTAATGGCTTCGGTTAAGGCAAGTGGCGCAGCGGGTGGCGCCAGCGTTGACCCGGCGTTTGCCATATGCAAAGAAATTTTGTCACGCCTACCTCAGGCTTTTAATATTGCCGAGGTGGGACAGAAGTATCCGGTGATCTATACAAATTCCATGAATACGGTATTGAGACAAGAGCTGATAAGGTAAGTAGATTGATGGTGCGCTTGTTGTATATTGGGGTGAAGCCTCATCGGAGAATCGTTGTATAATTGGAATTTTATTTTTTCATTTTTTGCTATAAACACACATTAAAGGAAATGGAAAAAATATAAAATTAGCTTTTGCTTTTCTTCAACTCAGTAAAATTGACTAAGACTAAAATATCTTAAATATATATGTATATGAAATTACTGATACTATGTACATATTGAACACCCTAATGTTAGACAAATTAAGATTTTTAAACTTATAAGTTAAACTAAAGTAATAAATATTTCAAAACCTCCATCCAAATAAAACTTCTGAAAAGTACGTACAGTTATAGCTCCTTCATTATCTTTCTTAATGTGCAAGAAAATTGAATGAAGCAACCCAACGAGAGAACATGTACTAAGCTTGTTAAAGCCATCAAAATTTTCAATCAGGTTACTTTACCCGGTCATTGCTTCCGGCTGAAGGCGGCCGGACAGCCTTGGTTAACGCATGTAAAAGTTTGAAAGTGAATCTAATTAATGGATATTAGTATTCATGGCAGAAGTACACTTGGAGGTTTGCTATTACCTGTCGAAGGGCGAATGCTTGTCTAAAAAGCTTTTTGATTTTGACTTATTCTTAATCTGAAGTAACCTTTTCGCTATAAATGGATTCTTGGACTCCAAGGGTATATTGCCAGGAGAACTCAAAAAGCGAAAGCCAAAGTGTTTAAGAAAAAGCAGCCAAACAAATTTTTTTTAACTCAATTATACGCTAGTATTACTATTTCCAAAACCTTTCGAGTAGATATTTTAATATCTCTTCAATTAAAAAAACATGATTTTCGACACTACTTCACCATTTATATCGTATTAGGCTGCAAAAGAAATAGATGCAGGTGCGAAAACTTACGTGAATACTGAAAACAATTTAAATCAGCGGACTTTCACTAGATTAATTATCATAAATTAAAATCAAAACCAATACTTTAAAATCAATGGGATTTAATAAGTAATGGGGCTCGATAGAAATAAAAAAATGGCTAACCAGTTTAACAAAGAAAAGTCATAAACACTTTTTGAAGAGACCTCTGCTCACATTGCCAAAAATAAAACACAACTGAATAGAAGATTCGCATAGAAGCAAGCAACGGCTAAATTTTCATATTTATAATCTCCATTGTGCTTAATTTGGCTTTTTACGTCGCCACTTGCCACAGATTCAATCGCTTGTTGGATTACATACGCAAAAGTCTCATCAACGTACAAAAAGCCATACAAGGTCAAATCGCCATGATACCCGAATTGGAGCGCACACATTTATCAATGGTGATCGGTAAATTGCCAGCGGACTGGCTAAGGAAAAGCTACCCATCGCTCAAGCCACTTGGTAGCTACGTTACGGATTTTCTAACGCGGTAAGTCAATTAAGTGTCAGATATGCTTATACATATACGTTTTTTGATTAATTAAAAATTTTTGTTTGCTTCTAACACTTTGCATTAATTAATTTTATTACTAAGGAAATAGTTTTTTGACCAATAATTTCAGTTTTTCGGCCAAAAATATATTAAACAGCATTTGTTTACTTAATAATGCTAAGTTATTACCCACGTTCGACGTGAGAGCTCTTTAAGAATCGTTCCAATTCTTGACACCGACAAATTAAGCAAAGAATTTATTATTAATGGTTTAAGCCAGCAAAAAAAACCGTGGCAGCGATTTTGTGAAAAGTTGCTTGAGAACTGCGGTGCTTGACATTTCGTTGTCACACTTCGGTAGAAATGTGTTCGCTATAAAATGCTCGATATCAATTGTGTCAGAACATTTAGATTTGACGATGCTGTCAGTGGAGCTTTCTGAAGGAACATTAATGTAGAGGTCCAGGCAATATTAAAATAATAAATTTATTCATAGAAACGGAGTAAAGAAAAAAATGTTACCTTCAGTTGCACCGAAGCAAGAGACCCTTCACAAATAAACAATTTTTCCATACAAGAACTTAATTTTGATCGTTCAGTTTGTATAGCAGCTAAATGCTATAGTGGTCCGATCTAAAAAATTTCTTCAGATATTATAGCGTTGCTTTAGAAAGTAATCTATGACAAATTTCGAGAAAATATTTTGTCAAACAAAACATTTTGTATAGCAGCTATATGCTATAGTGATATGATTTCGTCGGTTCCGACAAATAAGCAGCTTCTTGTAGATAAAATTATGTATGCATAATTTAGAGCTATATCAACTCAGTTCCTCACGCCGATCATTAATTTACATATGTTTGTATATATACATATTATAGGGTCCCTGACATTTCCTTTCGGGTGTTACAAACTTCGTTGCAAATATACCCTATTCAGAGTATAAAAATATTCTCTGTACTAGGGAGTTTAGTCATATCTCCAGTCGTGCATGATACGTTGGAAATACCTCTTCTGCAGTCCTTTTACGATTGCCACAAAATCTATATTGTCAGTTATTTCTCGTTTAATTTAAATTTATGACAATTTCTTCAAAGTTTTTCTATTATGGGCTTAATGAAATATGACTTTATTGACAAGAACTGTCAAAGTGGAGTTGTCATATTTCCGCTATTTTTACTTTTATTGATCTATATTAAGAAGTTTAAACTTAAATCCAATATTTCTCGATTCAATTACCTTCCGAGTTAATTGCGTAGTATATAGCCTAAATCTGTATTCTAGAAAGCTCATTCTAATCTTTTATATATCTATACTATAAGTAGTAGGTTATTAGTACCTAAAGTTTTCACTCTGAATAAAACTCTGTTGGATAAAGATAAACAAGTAAGAAGCCTTATTCATTTATTATCCATTGTTTATTATTTGGAACTCAAAACGGAAATTGGTACAAAAATTTGATCACATCTTCGACTTGTAGTCGACGTTATTTTAAGATATCGAAATATGTTATCTCAACGCAGTTCGATTTCATTGCAATGTCAGTCTCTTACCATGAACCCGAACTACCCATTCTATCTAATTTGTCGGCATTGTAAGAATTGGACAGTCGGTAATATTTTATATTTAGATTTAATAATAATCTAATTAAGTAACTATTGAAAGTATAAAGTTTTTTCTGCGTTGAATATAAGGTATTTTTGAATAGAAATTCTACAATAAGTCTCACATTTAATAGCAATATTTATATTTATTTACAGTAATTCTGCACATCGAAGTATCTTTAATTCATTTGCTTCCGTTTACTTTGAGCAGATTCTCCTATTTACTATTTCTTTGCAATAATATGGCATTATTTGCGCAATAAGCTGTTTAAACACAATTCATACAAGTATTTGAACAAACACTTGTACACTGAGCTTCGTTTGAAAGCACTCTTTGTGATTTCTATGTACACTATACGTAGTGTATATGTGCATATATGTATATCAATGTATGGTAGGTTGATATAGTGGTAACAAGTGTTATAGTAATGCTTAGAAAATGTATGAAACGAAACACAGCATTAATGATACAATAAAATAAAAGAATAATTTTAAAATAATTTAAAGTTTTTGATTTTACCGAAAATTTTCAGAAATAACTTTTACTAAAATTTCTCTGGAATATGTTTGTTTCAAAAAAGTCGGTAGTATTTACTAAAAAGTGGTCATAGCTATATTTGAATGGATTCAATTATAAACGTTAATATACATAAAATTGAAACAATAAAGCGCCCGAAGGGCTGCTTTCAATTCGCTTGATAGAAAAATTTTATGTTTTGAAAGCATACATTTATGAGCTAAATAAGATTTCTCGCGTAAAAATTTGTATTTTGTATATACAGATATAAAAATATATTTCTAATGAATCAGTAATATAATTTAAATACTCGTTTCTATTATACATTTATATTGTAAAATATTGCTTATTTGTTCTAACCACCATAAATAACATATTTTCTCCCATCTAGCTTGGAATTCTTTCAACGTTGGATTGATGAGGGCGAACCGACAGTTTATTGGCTGTCGGGTTTTTATTTCACACAATCCTTTATCACTGGTGTACTACAAAATTATTCACGAAAGAATACCTTACAAATAGATATGGTTGAAATCAAATTCGAAGTGACCAAATTCGAGACCGAAGTTGAAAAACTACCAAGTTTTGGTGCATATATACGTGTAAGTTGAGCAGTGAATATTTATGCCGATATTCACATATGTATCTATATTTTTTTTTAAATTTATCCTTATATTACTTTAAAGCACTAACACTAAATATTTCATTTATTAACTATATATTCTTGAATATTGTCATTACACATGCTTACAAACAACAAACATGAACAGGAGCAACTGTCCATCAATGATGAGACAAAATTTTTCAATGTAAGATACGAACAATAGAGCTTGTTGTTTATAAACTTTATACAGAGATAAGTAATTTATCACCAATTTTTTTTTATAATAATTAGCAAAACCAGAAACTAAGCAGTTTTTTAAAAAAAAGAGCACGAAATACAAATTAAAAAAATACATTGTGAATACAAATTACTACTATAACATATCCTCTTAAAATTGTAGAGTATTTATATTTTATGTATGTTCAACTTTCCATGTTTATTTTTATACCTAAAAATAAAAACAAACAAAGTTCAAATTTGTCTTGCCTCTACGCAGGGTCTCTTCTTGGAAGGCGCACGCTACAATCGTGAAACACAAGAGCTCGATGAATCCTACTCAAAAATTCTATTCGATACATTGCCGGTGATATACTTCCGTCCCACCTTGAAGCAGTCACAGGACGGTGGACAGGCGGCGAAGGAAGACACCACAGCGCGTACCATCTACGATTGTCCTGTTTATAAGACGAGCGAGAGGCGTGGTGTGCTCTCAACGACTGGTCACTCCACCAATTTTGTAATGTACATGCAATTGAATTGCAGTAAGACACCTATGCACTGGATCAATCGTGGCACTGCCTCTCTCTGTCAATTGGATGACTAAGTTGCATCTGAATTGGTTCTGGAATACTCGCATATTACATATTTTATATAAATTTTTATTTTACTTTTCAATGAATATAATTCTTTATATTCTCGCTGTTTTAATCTCATATTTTCTATAAAATAAATTTTGTTTTCGTATGTTCTTGTTACTTAATTTAGTTAATAGATTCTCTAAAAAAATTAAAAGAGCGTTGAATTTTGAGGAAGCTTAGCATAATTAATAATATATCTACCGTTTTAAAGCTTAAGAGTTCAACAACACTACAAAACTATTAATTATAATGTCCGAGTGATTAACGATTGAACGCACTGTCATCACGTAGATATTAGTGTTGGCAGTAGCTTACTCTGCCTTTGGCGATTATACTAATTTTATATGGTGTTAATTGCCTGTCTACAAATATACAAACATACGATATAATTGTATATGTATTTTTAATTTCTATGGAGATTGTATGGAGATTCTGTTTTAAATTTTTTTTTTTAACTGTAAAGAGATTAACCATTTCAATGAAAATTACTTCCAGTTGGACACTCTGATATCAGCTCCGAACATCTTCATGGTCAAATAGCAATGAAACAATTTTCTTTCGTTTTTAAAACAGTATAGATACTACGAACGCTTCATTAAGACCAAAATAATAAAATTATTAATTTTTAAACAACTGGTCAAATTAGATTAGACTCTTTTGTTGTTATAGCGTCACGACTAGTCCTTATAGGTCGAAACTTAGAGGGAATGTTGGTTTTCGGATCCCTGTAGCGTTCCTCAACTGCGAATAAAGAAGCAGTAGATATATTGCTCCAATGTGAAGCCTCTTTCAGTGAGGTGAGCATTCACAACGGAACGGGACGGAACATAAGATTCATCGAAAAAGTTCGAGATATTTCTTAAATTTGAGTTGCAATTCTAAAGAATATAAATACAAGAAATCTACCAAATTGCCTAAGGTACTCGGCTAATTTATACTCTTTTGGTTTCCGACATATCATTAAGCGAACCAACAAATTACCGTCGAATAACTGTTAAAAAACCTTAAAAAAGTTTTAAATCGCTCATATATATGTATGTATGTGTATAAATGTATGATTCGCACAGCACCATGGTTAAAGAAAACCTTTACATGTAGGAAGTTAAAACGACCTTTGATATTTTATTATGCCAGAGTTCTTCTTGCAGGTTAGAAATTGAAGCTCCCGAAGCTTAATAGTTACAAAAAGTATCGCTCAAACTTTTCCCTGGAAAAAACCGAATTTTTTCAGTTTTAAATTTTTTCCAACTTTTTTTTTGTCAAATACATAACTTTCATTGTCAATTCAACCAATTGTTTGATTTCAGCTTAACCGTCAACTGACGTTCAGGAGCTTCTCTGTATATTAACCTTAACCTTTTGAATTTTATTATAGAAATAAATATATAAAAAAAAGTTATAACTCAATGAGTGTTTTAATTCAAATAACATATGTAAATAGATAAATAAATAGTGTTCCAGTTCATAAAGGGTGTTACTTTTAGTTCTATTATTTTACTAAAGAAAAATGTAGAGGTTGTTATATTTCTCCACTATACAGGAAATAAATATTCATAAATTCTCAAAATTAAGTATTCAAACTTAGCTGACCATTCGTCCCGGTATGATGGGGACAGTCCCAGACTCCGTCCCGGGCTTAGAAATAAAATAAAAAACAAAATTTCTCAATAAACGGAACAAAATTACAACAATGTTTACGGTTTGAATATATTGAATTTTGTAGTAGATTTTGGCGCGAACGTCAGCGTTGTTCACTAACAGCTCATTACTTTCAATCAGCAATCAAAATTAAACATAAAATAATTTTATGAATTTCAAGCATATACATATATAATATTTACGAATAAATATTACCTTGTGAAATGTTGAAACGAAAGTGTGTTTTCAACGATAATTTGAAGAAAAAATATCCTTTTCCCTTATATCGATTCTAACGTCCGTTGCGACAAATGTAGTCTCTTCAAACTTCAATCATATCAGATTTTTTCATCGGAGAGAAACCAGATTTGAATCTATCGACAATTGATGAGAATCACAGTTTCAAACTTTTTATTGTAGATCAAACGAATGCCCACACCTGTTTCCAAATGAAATAACCAATGTTTTTGCAACATACGCCCTGGAATGCCTCAAGTCTGATTTACAGAAAACCCGCTTCCAATCGCAAAGCAATCAAGATGTTTCCTGTCGTCTTTCGTTATTTTCTTCCATTATCTGGAGTAAATGTTCAAATAATTGAACTTTCACAAAAAAGGGTGAAAGGTCGGATATGATTTTTTCATTGATTATTGAAAAAAAGGAAAATTTTGACTTGACTGATAAATTGATCGCTTACTGTAAAGACAATGCGCAAATTAATTTCGGTCACGTTGATCGGAAAAGTGAAAAAAAATGTATGCTAAACTAAAGAAATTAAAATCGTGTAATGCGCTTGATGTTGCAGTAGATCTGCACACATTTTTCCATCCACACCAATAGCGCAGAAGCCTTAAAGTCAAACTGCGAGATTTCTGAAGACGAATACGATCAACTCGTTGGTTACTGCAAAACTCGGTTCATCACCAGATGCATCCGCCATTTTTTCAGTGATCCACTATAGAAGCTTTGGTTCATTTTTGTTTATGAACAGGGGAAAATATATTTTTATTAACTGGAATTTTTTTCGAAATCGAGAAATTATTTAATTATTATCTCATTAAATTTAGACCATGATTTTCGAATAAACCATAAAGAAAATTGAAATCGATGATATTCCAGCAGTTGCAACTTACAAACACTTGCAATATTCAATGAACAATTTGCAAACATCCAACGAACACAATTACTTTTCATTGCAAGTAACAGCGGAAATGAAGAACCTGAAGAAAGAAAACTATGACTTAAAGCAATTTGAAGGAGAGGCCAAACAATTTCGAAGTAAATATTTCATTTTACATCATTTTTTTTAATTGTCTTCAATACGTCAATCAGGTGATTGCTACGAATATCAAGAGGCATGGACTCAATAGTTTGCTCATGTAAAACTATTTGGTTGGGTGCTACTCACTGATAAACTGGACTGAGAAAAAATTGAGAAAACGTACATTTTCCTCACAGAAATACTTCAGACCGAAGACATCTGCCACAATTCCGGAAACACCGTCCACTTTATCAACTGATATACAAACGATCGCACCAGACAGTGATTGCATCTTTTAATCATTTTTAATATTACTTTGCTTTCTCTTTTATCATTTCAATTCTTTTTAAATAAAATTGTGTAGCTCTCTCCCTATTATATGTCACGATTTTCAGTGAATAATAATATGGAAAAAATCAATGACTAAAAAACCCATCTTGGATTTTGCCGTAAAAAGTGTGGTCACCTAAATGTAAACAAACTATTTAACTGCTATATAGAGGCACCCTGTATCTGGCTTAATTATACATGAAATGTGGTAATTATGAACATTTAAGAGTAAACAAGCTCATTAGAATGATTGCGAATTTCCAAGAATTCACATTTAACATAAGTGAGAAATTATCCACCGACGAGCAAAAAATTACGATAATTGTTCTAACGAGTTACTCGCTACAACGTAGATTATGAACTTCCGGAAGTATTTGCTATACGCGAACCGCATTGATTGATGTGAACTTTCGTACATATATAATCTCATATGTGTATCAGTTATATGCATATTAATACATATTTATGTATGTGTATGCGTGTAGGAATGTTAACAGTGCAAAGCTACAGTTGATGGGCGACTGGCAAGCTGTATGGCGGATTCGAATGCCCAGCTGAAGATATTTGCGGCGCCAAGTGTTTAAGCGCTAAATAGACAAACATACATACATACACCTGTGCTTGCTTATGTAACATTGTTGACTTGAGTGTTAGCGCATGGCAATATACTTGTATGTAAATACACACATACACACACATCAAAATGTAGATGACCGACAAATATTGCCCTTTTATTTTGTTTATTTATTATTATAATTTTATTCGTTTTGTCTGAATTATTTTTGCAAATAAATGAAAATAAACAATGGATATTTAAATAAACTCTAAATCCGTCTTGAATAGTGTCCGTCAGCATGAATGGAGCAAATAAAAAGAGAAAAAAAATATATATGAAACACGCAAAAATTTTGAAGAACGCCACTTGAAGACAATTGAAAGATACATACCTATGTTCGATTTGAACTTGAAAACGGGCTACAAAGCATCCGAATTGGATTGAATATGCTTTCCGCACTCCGCACTAATGAGCACAACTGCGAAAATTATGGACACATACATGAATTTGGAGAATGCCCAATTTATAGAAATATACACACAAGTATATATATAATTTACAAAGGCAAGAAAACGGGTTGAGCTTAAACATCACCCGACCGCTTTTCGGCACTCTCATCAGCATCTGTGTATGTCTGTATTTAGGTATGCAATGACACCAGCAACAACGCATTAAACACCGCTAAACTGAGCAATTTGTTTACTTTCGATTTTTTCTTTCCATAATGAAGCAGTGGGCGCTTGGTTGTAGCACCATAATTAAATGGCAAATTAACTCCAGCAACAACTATATGGCGAAAAAACTGAAAATAAATGTTTTCCACTGAGTCTTCACTTCATCTCATCTGGGATGCTCTAAACGATCATACACAACTCCATAAATATGTATGTACATAAAAGTGTAATAAAACTAAAATGTACGTAATTGCGCATGCGTAGCACACACATACACATACGCAAGAAGTTGGAGCAATTTATTTGCTGATATTTCGGTAATTATATTTAAATTTACACAAAATATTTTGGGTATAAATAACATGTACTTTTTGCAATTAAAGCATAACACATTCTTACCTTCAATCACTAAGTAGCATTAAACAGCAATAATGGTAAGAGAAATCCACCAGCAACACCATAGAGAGGCCACGCTTTTTCAAAGGATAGTGAAAGCGTAGTTCAACACTTACACACATCTTCGAATCATCAATATAAAAAAATACATTAAACAATAAAAATAATTTTACATTGCAGAGATTCCTTGCGATTGCATTTGCTGTGATAGCAGTTGTTCGTGCGGCTACGTTGCCGGCCGACTATCTGCCCCCCGTTGTGGATAACAGTTTGCCTGTGCAGGAATATTTAGCGCCAGTTGACGAGGCTGCACAAGAACATACTGTGCTAGCCGATGATGGCTACCGTTATAAGGCAGTACATCGGCTTAAACTACGTCATCGTCGTGATGTAAATGAACTACCGAAAAATGATTACCTGCCACCCGCGGAGGAAGTCCAGGAGAGCGCTGTGGAAGAATCCGTTGAACCCTCTCCTGAGGCCAAAACCGATTTGGCTGCAGATGGTTACCGTTACAGGACTGTTCGTCGTCTAAAATACCGCAAGCGCCGTGATGTTGATGAAGTACCACAAAACGAATACCTCCCACCTACTGAAGATGTTCAAGAATCCGTTGTTGCTGAGGTTACTGAAGCCGCTGAGCCTGCTGCAGCGGAAGGAACTAAATTGGCTGCTGATGGTTACCGTTACAAAACAGTCCGTCGTTTGAAATACCGCAAGCGCCGTGATGTTGATGAAGTACCACAAAACGAATACCTCCCACCTACTGAAGATGCTCAAGAATCCGTTCTTGCCAAGGTTGCTGAACCGGTTGAGCCTGCTACAGAGGAAGGAACTGAATTGGCTGCTGATGGTTACCGTTACAAAACAGTTCGCCGTTTGAAATACCGCAAGCGCCGTGATGTTGATGAAGTCCCGCAAAACGAATACCTCCCACCTACTGAAGATGCTCAAGAATCCGTTCTTGCCAAGGTTGCTGAACCTGCTGAACCGGTTGAGTCTGCTGCTGAAGAAGGAACTGAATTGGCTGCTGAAGGTTACCGTTACAAAACAGTCCGTCGTTTGAAATACCGCAAACGCCGTGACGTTGATGAAGTTCCACAAAACGAATACCTCCCACCTACTGAAGATGTTCAAGAATCCGTTGTTGCTGAGGTTACTGAAGCCGCTGAGCCATCTGAGCCTGCTACAGAGGAAGGAACTGAATTGGCTGCTGATGGTTACCGTTACAAAACAGTTCGCCGTTTGAAATACCGCAAACGCCGTGACGTTGATGAAGTTCCACAAAACGAGTACCTACCACCTGTTGAGGAAGCTCAAGAAACTGCTGTTACTGATGTTTCTGAACCCGCTGAGCCAGCAGCTGATGATGCTACTGTCTTAGCTCATGACGGTTACCGATACAAAGTGGTGCGGCGTCTAAAATACCGTCATCGTCGTGATGTGAATGAACTGCCCGCTTATGAGTACCTGCCACCAACTGAGGAAGACCAAAAAGTAGCGGAACAGCAACCAGAAAAAGAATCAGCTGCGCTCGCTGATGATGGCTATCGGTACAAAACTGTGCGCCGTTTGAAATATCGCCGCCATTAGTTAGATCAATTGCATTTTAAGAAACATAGGAACAAAAAGCTATTATTCATGTACATAAAACATAGAGGCAAAGGTATACACATAAGATATGAAGGAAACAACGAAGTAAATCACAAAAAATCATATAACAGAAGAAAAAAGTAAACGAAAAATAATTCAAAATAAAACCAAAACGTTACTCATTGGGGAGTTATTTATCAAGTAATGGGTTATGGATATTCTGTAGCAGCATAAAAGCCCACTGTAAAAAGCTCGCTTATAGTACCCGTCATAACTAGGCATACAATATCTATATAGTCTTATCTTATCATTTCCATTGCGAAAATTCCCTGGAACGCTTGAACGCTTATCTTACTTTTGCTCAGAGACTAAACGGTTGGCACTAAGCGATGGTAATGCCAGCCGCTTAGTTTAACGAAGACCGACAAAGATATCTTATTAACTTTTAGTAACGACTCGTGTTTTAAAAAAGTACAACGAAATACTTTCATTTAATTTTTAAATTCCAGTTCCGAAGTATTATTACAAAATGCATTTAGTGAAAAAGAGTGCAACGTATTTGGTGATCTTTCTAGGTAAAAGAAATTAGATATGTCTACTATACAATGTTACTCTGTGTTTGACCCATATAGTAGTATATATATTGGTATATATGTACATATTATATTATTTGATACAATATTGGTAACAAAATTCTCTAGACCTGCTCGCTAAAAAAGTCAAACTCTACAAACATTTTTTCTATGCTTATCACTATTGTTTGTATTTATTTACAAAAGATAAGCCAAACAAAGATGACTCACATTACAAAAAACGAGTATTGCACATACATAAATACAGTTATTGTTAGTCATTTGGCACATGGAAATATGTGGCGCAACAAAAAATGGTGAATAAATGGAAATTATGCTAGATTTTTCAACACATATAAATTAAAGTCATAATCCGAGTAGTGAATACCTATGTATCGCAGTGTGTACTTATACATGTATAAGAATGAGGTCATTGTTGAAGAAGAACACTATTAGATTATTCTAGTGTTCTTATTTGATTTATACCAGATTGGCAAATATATGAAAGGCATGATATAAGTTAACAAATTTTGCTGCAAATTTATATATAAAAGTCCATCAATAGAGTGGTTAGTATAGTATTTCGAGTAAAGTTAAATGTTTTTTACTTTATTTTTAGAAAAAAATGTATCAGAAAGTCGGAAAATATTTCTAATCATATTTAGTCATAGGTATTTATTGTAGAAACCAATAATTCAATAATTAATTATTCCTGTACGAGTACTTTTCAATTATAATATGAGTCCTACAAAAGGAATATTAGCCGTCAAAAATATAGCGCTCATACTCGTTATGCGTAAGGTAAAAAAGTCAGCCACAATATGCTAGAATGTGACGGCTCTTTCAGCTCTTTTGCTACGAATCTAGCATTGATACTCTTCATACCCAAAACACTAACCAAAATGAGTTCTAGTCTATCAATAAGAGACGTTGAGATCCCCTGCTAGCTCTGTTTCTTTAACTTCTAATCGTCCTTAACAGAGGTGGATGGACAACACGCATGAGGGAGGTTTTCGATGACTGCACGACCTTCACTGAATACTTTGTGTCAATCAAATAATTGTGTTCGTCAGAAAGCCGACTCCGTAAAACACTTCTACAATATTTTCAACGATTCCGTAGCAATGATTCCATTAGAACACAAATTTATTGAAAAATCGTTGTGCAATATTTTTTTTCATGGTAAAATCCGCACGACGATTGACTAATGCATATCATCCTTGCTGTAGCGGATATTTGTGTTCAAGAAATAGGATATGGTCTCAAGGAGTTCACTTTGCAGAAAAGAGAACTATTGAATATAGAACAAACCATCTAAAATTATCGTCTCTTTTTAAGTGCCCTCCTCTGAACATGATTTGATCTGGGATCGGTATTTTAAATGCTCATAATTTTTAAATATTTGAATAATGTGACTGATTTTGATATTTGGATTGACTCAAGAGAATGCAAGCCGAATTTTTGGAAACGATGGCTTTTACGTAAAGAAATACTCACAAAACATACCATACACGAAAGCTTTAAAAATTGTGAAAAATATCTGAGCATAGTTTAAAAATAAAATCTGATGCTAGTTCCAAAAAAATAGCATTCTCGCAATTTCCGTTACTTGCGCCGAATGCAACTATTGTCAGATTTCCATATATAATCGGCAGTTATTTCGAAGCAGCATGCCAAAATATACAAAACGTTCATGAAAAAGTAGAGAATAAGTATGAACAAAGTTATGTGAATAGGCTTAAAGTGTTAGGGATGTGATTGTAACAACAATAGCAACAGTGAGAATTCTTGCTTAGTTTCTACATAAATTAAATCGAAACAGCCGCTTACACACGCTCGCATAGAATAACAAAATGGAATTATGCAATGCAAACACTAACAAAGAACAGATAAAAAGGGAACTATTCTCCAGTTGGCACAGGTGCACCTCGCACTGGCAGGGCGTTGTCCAACACCGGAGGTTAGCCAATTTTTATAGGCGTCGCCAACGCGTACGCACCTGGACCCCAACCATTTGCATCGGCCAGCAACAGCACCACAGCACCACATTGCCACCATATTATTTTCTTCTATTTATGTTTATTTTTCGCTTTGCTTGACCACTGTGCCAGCATTGTTGTTATATTGCACGTAACTGCAGTGTTGTGAGTTACACAATGCCGCAGCGGATGCTGGAGGTACACAAGAGTCCGACGTTGATAGTGACACTGATGATGATGAACTGTTTTTTGCCTTTTGCTGCACTTTTTGTCGGGTCAAAAAATGGCTTTTATTTATCGAGTTCCGCTACATTTTTCGTCGTTCTTTTGCGATTTTTCATTTTTGTGTATTTACTACCGTTCGCACGAGGTTTACTTTATGCAAGTGTTTTGTTTGCTTTTTTTTACCTGTTTCCCCGTATTGCGTAAGTAATGGATTTTTATGCAGATTTTTCCGGTGCGCTTCATCGACATTAATGCACTGACGAACGGTATGCATATGTCTGTTCAGTCTGCCTGATTTACACATGTTTGTGTGTATGTATGCACGTTTATTTGTTATTTTAATGAAAAAAGTACTGTTGGAATAGAAGCATTCTTTATAAGCTCAGCTAGCGTCAGAATCTGCATTTTAGTTGCAGGCGGTAATGAATTTTCGGAATTTATTACACTCGGATTAGGTAACTCAAATATAAAATATTAGCATTGCATTCTGTCAGATGCAAGTCTACATGTTTTCAATAAAAGTGACTGTAGCAATATCAAGTACATGTGTTAGGGTTGAACAACATTTCAAACAATTTCGGTATATGTACATATTCGTATATATAAATGTATAGAATGATAAACCTCAGTTTTCGTTTTTTGTCCAGATAAAATTTTTCCATCAAACGCGTCTTAAGAAAATCCACCAACATTCGAAATTTTGAAACTTTTAGCATTGTCCACATAGACTTTACATTTTACATATCCCCACAAGAAAAAGTCTAACGGTGTGATATCACACCAAAACGTTTTTTCTGGATGAAATAGCAGCTGTTTACATACCCATTGAGCCCGAAATGGGAAGGTCAAGTGGCTTCAGTTCTTGCACAAGCTGTATTTTATACGCTTTTAATTTAAGATTTCGACGTAAAACTTGGCACTTGTTCCATACGTCAATCCGAGTTGCTGCAAACAGCGTCGAATCGACTCTCAACGGTTTTCGTGCACACTCTCAGTTATGGCCGTTGTATTTTCTTCACGGCGTGCTGGACGTGGTCTATTCAGTCGAATATTATTTAATAATGAATGATAGGTCTCAAGATGGGTGATGGTGTTGCGAATAGTTCGCTTAGAAGGCCGATTATGTTGGCCATAAGTTGAGCAAAGCGCGCGAAACACATTCTTTACAGAACGTGAATTTTCGTAGTAAAGTAGAACGATTTGTAAACGTTGTTCAGGCGTAAGTCTTTCCAACACAATACTGAACAAAAAAAAATTAACAGCTTGATACGGCTCACGCGTGATTTAAAAAAAAAAAGTCTATTGAAAAAAGTACCTCTACTTGGATCACCCGTTTGAACTCATATGTCAATTAATGTGTGTTTGACAAGATGTTGAATCAAGGTTGGCTTCAAAGAGACAGCAGAGGATTTCAAAAGATCTTATCCATCGACTCCACATATTTTAGTTTATATCTTTAGGTATGAAGAGTGTGAAAGAAAGCCAAGCCCGTACCAAAGACCTGAATCTGAAAGAAGATATTCACTAAACTTTTGTCAATTATGTTTTTGAAATTTATAATCGAAATTTCAAAATCAGTATTATAAGAAAGTATTACATATTTTAGACAACCTATATGGAGTAATGTCGGATATGAGAATTAAAGAATATTTGACATACTTAAGATATCGAGTTACAATTAATGTGTTAATGGATTTAGTTCAACATATTAATTACCCAATACAGCTCCCTACGAATACTTGTATTGCTACAGGTTTAAAATTTCAAAATATATTCTTTCATTCCGTAAACCGTTCTCTGAATATGTTAGACCAAAATACAGCATAATAAAAATCTCTGCAGATTGCAGAATACATACATATATATTTATTTATATATTGGAGTAAGGCATTTCTCTTTCAGCAAAAGTACCCATGGGCTCGAAATCTTCCTTGAAAATATATTTGTTTTATGATTTCTTTAATATTTTATCGGGAGGCTTAAAATAGAGCGGGCACAAGTTTTGAATTGAAATATTTAAGCCTTGAAACTAAAAACTATATATTTATTAAATTATTTTTATTTTCAGTTCTGCTTGCCTTCTGCACACAGGAATCGGAGGCAACCAGACGTGTGATGCGTGGACGTAGAACACTGACACGACGCTACTTTAGTAAGTTGACCATGAAAAGAAATCTTTCTTTTATCTTAATTATTTACAAATAGATGAAAGTGTCAAATAATAAGAAAAAGCTTTTGAACTGCATAAAGCTGAATAAAAATTCGATTTTTAATTTTTTCTTTTGCTATTTCATATATATATATATTTAAAATTGTGCTAAACTCTTCCATATAATTTCACTAATATCCATATTTTCCACTTTCTAGCTGGTTTGGCTATTCCCGGCTGGCTACTAGCCGTCCTCATAGGCATTGGGGAACTCATACTTGGCGGTGCGCTTTATTTGGCCATGAATCGCTTGATACTTGCCAAGCCAGTACAAGAAACCAATACATATACGCCAGCGAAACAACAAGAAGTTTAAACGAAAATATCGAATTCTACATTTAAAAAATAAATGTGCAGTGAAAATACTTGCAAAAACAACAACACATACTTGTATATACATGGACACACTTATTTGTGAAGACAAAAACTGTAAAACTTATATGGGAAACATCATAGCTAATCGAGTGACTGCTGCAAACGACCTGATATATTTCTAGTGTATATCATTAGCATTACAACAACATTCATTCTTTTTTTGTAATTAATAACTGATATTGACAATAGCAGTAATCTACATATCCATTACTACCGCTGCAAAGAAAGTGCACTCATTTCGATTGTTCTTTCTTCTTTTTTTTGACAAAATCATAATAAACGATCGAACTAAATCACTGCTTCTTTCCAATTTAGTGATTGCGACATGTGGCCCATGTTTTTGATGTTTCTGAATATTTTCACTTAACAAAGTTGCCTTTCGAAAAATTCTGTGCGTCCCTGCTGAATTTATGCTACGTTAGTTGCAAGCTAATGTTTTGAGAAACCAAATACACTCATTTACACATTCTTGCATTCTCCTCCCCAGCATCTTTATCCATTTTAGCTTTTCCTGCTTTCGAAAAGTTTGCCCTTTCTTTCTCTAACCTTTTGTAGCTTTTCTCCGCTTATCTCGATGCTGCACTTGCATTAACTTTTGTAATTTTTCCCCAACATTTACCACTACATTATTATTTTCACATCGGTTTGGTTTTTCATACTTCATTTTATTTTTCATTTATTTTTTCTTAATTTGTTTTTTGTTAATTAAAAACTTTACTTTTTCTGTAACCCCTGATAAATATAGTTGGTGCATTGTTGCAGTACAGCTGAACTGAACGCTGCTTCTTTCGGGCACTTTTCACTTTAATGCTCACTCTCTGTGGCCTTTTGCCTTTTCCAACACTTGCAGTTTAATTAATAATGTTTCGAAACCTTTCAAAACAGCACAACTCAGTTCCCTGTATTTTGGTCAAAATTGAACAATACTTTCTATATGCTCGTACAAAATGCGCTTGTAGACAAAAGTCTGACAACAAAGAAAAATATATATCGTTACTAATTTACTAATGCTTTTGCTTACGAAGCAAATAAATTAGTTTGAAGTTTTAGAGCCATTTAATAAACAGTACACAAATTTTTAAATAAAAGTGGTAGAAGGTTGCCATATATTCGCTTATTTTTGGTAAAAAAATATTGGATATAGATATTGCTTTAAAAGGCTTGTGCTGGAATTAGTGACCTTCCGTACTTACTCGTTCGTATCAAACGAAATTTGTTTAAAGTTATGCGCATAGTGGCAACGTAGAAATCAGTTGTTCTCTTTTGTTTTAGTTATAATTTTTCATAATGTAAAAGATCAAAACTAAAAGCCAGTTATTAAAAATAGTATACCTATTTAAAATAATAGTATTCGATTATGATTTTGAGCTAGTTTAAGAATATTTAAATATATTCAAATATATTTTCAAATTTCTACAAAATATCGAGACTGGCAACCCTGTGTTGAAAGCGAGCAATTAGCTGACTCGATATCCTACGTTACGGACGGTAGAAGCGGTGGTGAGTGTTCGTTTACATTGCGCTCTCATAAGATAGGTCGTATCAGCTGATATGGTGTACGGTTTCGCGTCGGTCACTAATTGAAGCATTACAGTTAAGCATATTTTTTTCTGTTTAAAAATATTAATCTAATACAATTGACAAAATTAGAGAATAATTAATATATAATGAGATTTTGAAACAGTTTACGAAGGGTCACTGTTGAATCTATTACTTGAATGAGGAGTGCTGCCACTTATTTCAACAATATAAAGAAAGAAATTATAAAAAAAATTTGTTCACTTAAAGTGTTCACACTATTAAATATTCACAAATAAAATATTCAACTGAGAATTTGCAAGAGAGTTGCCGTCTATTTAAAAATTGTAGTGGAATAAGAATTATTTCAGTAATTAAAGTACCTTTAAATGTCTTAGACTTGAAAATATTTATTATTTATTGAGCAAATTTTTTGTTCAGTAATTTTTTTAATACACGAATATGTTAATCGGGGAAAGCACCGATTTTATAAAATTCCAATGTATTTTTAGGCAATCGTTGGTAATGCAACAGTAATTCACTTTAATCCCCTATTGAGTTTTCCATTTTATGCGATTCAATGAATTTTATATTTTTAATACAATACTTTCTTTGTTTGCTTTGGCATTTGGCAGTAAATGTTTTTCTAGCTTTCGAATTGATATTGCAGCAAATTCAATAGACGGCCGATTACTTGGAAAACAAAGCAAATAATACATATTTATATATACTATATACTTTATACATTATATACGAGTATATATACTATATATGTACATATCTACAATTGTGGTTATGTGTTTGACAAGCAATTTATAGCACAACCAATGATTTGATAAAACACTATTTTCTACTTTACCACTTTGTAATCGACATATAAAAAAATTAACTTTTATTTTCATTTAAAATTATTATTATTATTTTTTCTTCTTGTAAACACTTGTCACTTAATTTTGTGAGTTTAGTATTTAACACAACTGTACACATGACAGGGCTTAAACTATAGTTTTGAATTTCGCTGAAAAGCAAACAAACTTCAAAGCAAATGACATTTTCATTCAAACAACTTGTTATTTTTATTTCGCTGCTTTGTTAGACGCTTTTAGTAACGTTTAAAATATTTAATATTTTATTTATTTTAAGAATTTAACAGTATATATGTATATATACCATATATGCATAAACACTGGTACACTACACGCGTATATCCGGTACAGTACAAACTAGATCTAATTACAACGCTCGTTACAGCTGATAGCAATCAAGTTTCAAATACGCGCCTGAAAGTATACAAATATTTTTTATAAAGCTCCTAAACCTTTGCAAATGAGTTGATATGTATATTTTAATCAAAAAGTAAAGGGTATTCTTTTGGAGGTATATACATTTTACATTGAATTAAAACAAATTGTAATGAAATGTTTTTTCAGTTTGTTAATCAGCACCATCGCCACCGCGCCCAACACTCTCGGTACAATAACTACTTTTTCTAACGTAAGCGGTCTCATCGGAGCACCAAATATTGACGTCTCCTAATAAGTAAACAAAAAAAGATACCTGTGGCACTCGGGGATTGCATAGCATTTCTTATCAACTTATGCAATTATAATTATTTATTTATTTTCTATGCAGTATTTTTTTCTTTGATATTAAATCAAGTTACACGTTTTGAACGTGGTGACCGATAAGTAAACAAATTTTTTTCCTTTATTGAATAAATGAGAAGTTAATATTGTTTTAAATATTTATTCAGGAATTTTTCTCATTGAAAGGCGGGATAAAGGGATGCCCAACTTATTCCAGTGTGAGAGCGCCTCAAAATGATCGTTTTTTATAACATTTTCCATTGTAGCCAGATTGGAATAAGTAATGAAAATAATTTTAAGCATTTTAATTAAAATACCCAACATTTATTAAGATTAAATATTATTATACATGTATCCGTGAAACATATGTAGAAACTATTTAAACCCTTTTTTATGATTTTGTAATATATTAGAACAATTGACTTTTGAACTTGCAATACTTAATCAAAAGAATAAATGTATAAGCTCTCAATTAATAAATGTTTTTTTATAATTTTTAATTGAAAATTAATACTACATGGCATCACAAAAGCTTTCATCACATACATTTCAATTTCGCGTTTTCTTTCATTTTTATTGTTTTCCAATCTTTGTTAATGATCTTCAACAGCAGCCACAAATCTCTCTGTTCACATATTTTTCTGTAGGATTTCAATGTGGCCGTCCCTTTTTATCCAATTGCTAAACGTCAGATCTCCTGAACTTGAGAGTTGCCTGAGTTCAGGAGGTTTTGAGATTTTGCAATTGCGTTCTCATTTCCAGTGGTAGATGAGTTGAGCATCTAGTAATCTCTGAATGAAACTAACGGTTTTTTTTAACTGAAATAAGAAACATAAGTTTGAGACTTAATATCCTGTAAATATCTGGAAAATACCGCGTCAAGGATGGTCCAATATTTTGTTGGGGATTCTTGTGCATCATTATTCATTTCAAATTAAATTTTTCCGAAAGAAAAGTTGTCAACCGCTCTGATTTTTTATCAACGAAGTTGATGTTGGAATTGTCAGCCAAGATAAGTGGAAATATATTACCATTGAATACCCAATTTCTGTTGTATTGTTCAATTCAAATGAGATACTGTTCCAAAAGGTGGGGTAGCTATTTAACAACATATTAATAATGTTACTAATATTACGACTCCGAATACTGAATAATTTTTTTTTTGTTAATTAAATTTTTATTCAATTCATTTTTTATTTGTCATTAAAAAAATATGTTTGAATCACCCTGCTCTTCAAGTGAGTTGTTCCGCTTGAGATATGCGAAAATATGTCTGAAAGTATGCAAACATTTTGCGTTACGTTCTGATCGTGTTTATTTACGTTGCGGAATTTCTTGATTCAGACTCAAAGCCTACGACAGAAGTTATGCAATAGCTTAAAAACTTTAACTATATACATATAAATGATATATGTAGTCGTCCGATCTGAACAGTTGTTTCACAGATTTCTACCGTCCCCTTGGACAATAATCCATGCCGAATTTCTTGAATATATCTTGAAATATAAAATTTTGGATGAAAGGGACTCTCTTCTGGATTATTCACACCACTTTAAATATATCTTGCCCATTAATGTACCAAAATAGTCAGCTCACGGACGAAATATTTTGAATGTTTCAAATTTGAAAATAATTTTAGACGATTCTTACACATTGTGCCAGTGATGATTCTTATGGATAATGGAAATTTGTTCAAATATACTGAGCATAAATGTCAAACACATGTTTTTACTTAAACAACTTATTTGTCAGCTACCACTGTAAAAACCACCCTGTTGTTTGAACTAAATATAGTAGTGATATGTTCACAGTGCTCTCAATATCCGTTTCCTATACAAGTATTGTCTCAATATCTTATATCATTTAGTGGAACCTTTAGAAGTACATGTATTAACTGCATGTCTTGCGTAGTGCTGAACTTAATATCGTAAATGGGTAAAAGGCATTTGCCTGAATTAGGAGAGCTGCTGAGAGTATATATGTATGTAGTTAAATGTCCATAAGTATATGAAAATGATCGTATCTACTTGTATGCTGATAGGCGTCTTAATAACCACTGCACATCTCATAAGCCGATTTAATACATATAGACATAAACCAGAAGCAAATCGCGTCCATTTAGGCTTAAGTCCAACCCGGCATCCTCAAACATACACTTCTATTGGCAAGAGTTAGTATTATATGCACAT